AGCTTTCATTTTACTAGCGACATATGCTGGAGCATTGTCAGTCTTAATGTGTACAGGTATTCCCATGATGGCCATAACTTCTAACAAATGTGTGATTACAGAATAAGCCTTTTCTGAATTCAAAGCAATTGAACATTGAAACCCAGAATATGAATCAATGGTGTGGTGTACATGTTTTAAGTTTCCAATTTCCACAAAATGAAACACATCCATCTGCCAGATTTCACTCCCTTGAGTACCCTTTGGGTTACTTCCTGCAGATAGTGGAGTTTGGTTGTATAAACAACAAGGAGGACATTTCCTTATAATTTCCTTGGCTTGTTGTCATGTGATGGAAAAAAATATTTTCAAACCTTTGCTATTGACATGATCTTTTATTTTATGAAATTCTGAGACCTCCAGCACATTTCCTATCAATAGTTGATCAATTTCATCATTACCTTGTGCTAGATGGCCCGGCAGGCCCATATAGGTTTAAATGTGTGAGGTGTATATGTGTGTGTACATACATATGTAAATATATATATATATATGATGATTCCTATTCCTGATTATTTCTTATAACTGAATAAATAACAAAGTCAATTCTGTATCATCTGTATAAATTCAGCAGTTTCAATATGCAAAACAGCCCTTTCTGCATATTGCAAATCAGTAACTATGTTGAGAGGTTCCGTAAAATCCATTAATACCACGAGAATAGCATATAATTCTGACTTTTGGAAAGAATCAAAAGGGCTTTGAGCCACTTTACTTAAATTTTCTAATTTGTAACCTGCCTTTCCTGATTTAAAAATTTTGCATCACTATAGAATGTAGGAGCCCCAGATATTAGTGTTCACCATACAATACAAGGAGAGATCTGGTTAGTTCTTTTTATCAATTGAATTCTCTTGGTTTTGGAATATTTGTTTTTAATCACTCCTAAAGGATTGCCTCGTGCTCTTTGCCAGGGTTCACTTTCTGCCCATAATTTGTTTCTTTCATTAGTAAAAGGTACCTCATTATCATTGTGCATTAGCATTTTCAAAATCCAGAGATTCTGGATTACTCCTGGAGTCAGTCTTTGCAAGAAATCCTTGGAGGCTTCCTTTGGGCTCTGTTATAACTTTAATAAATGACTCAGTTTTCTTTCACACTTCTCCAATTCTCTCCCAAGCATTCAAAGCTGCTGTGTGGCATAAATCCAGGGCATAGTTATCACACAGAGATTGCCTTTGTACATCAGCATAATCTCCCTCTCCAAGAAGTTGGTCTTGGGAGATTTCCATACCTCTAGCCCTACTTTGTTGTTCAATGATCTTAGCCTCATCTTTCCACCAGGTTTTCCGTTGTAATTAAGGACTAGCCTCTAAAAGAGTTTTAACCAAGTCTCTCTAGTCTTGAGGGATAATTCTATTACAAGTTGTCCATGAGTTTAACATCTGCTTCACAAAAGGTGAATTCAAGCCATATGAGACCTTGAATCTCCTTAAATCTAACATTTCCACAGGAGTCCATTTAACTCATGCACAGCCTTGGAGATACCTGTCATTTGGCAGCTCCTGTAACGTGACTGGATAAATTAAAGCTGGCTGTTCAAAAACCATAGACTATTTTTCTTTAACTTTGTAATGCAATGCTAAAATTGGCTCTCCATTAAACTCCTCTATATGAATCTGAATATCTCTATGATCTGTTTTATTAAGTTTCTCTAAAACTTGTATCTTAACACTCATATTAATCAATGTTTTTAATGATAAAACAAAATTCATAAAGCTGATCATGTTTATAATTGATATTACATAAGTCCCATCTAAATTAGTGATCATCTCATTAAATTGTTCCATTTTCAAACTGTCCAGCGTATAAATAAATAAAAATTTCCCATTTTTTAATGTGGAAAAAAACCTTTCCTATTTTTTGTTTGTTTAACTAATTCATTCTTTTAAGAATTACCAATTGTCTTAACCAAATCTGCTGAGGAAGATGGTGGAGCTTAAAGCTGTGTAACACATCTGATCAGACAATGCAAGCAGAGTACAGCCCTCCTGAGGACAGCTGCAGTTGCTAGCATGTACCTATGAAATTAGAGTGGCAGCCCAAGGAGAGGGGTCTAAGACAAGCCCACATCCCATGGTGTGAGGAGAGGGGAGCTGTCTGTCTGAAAATGCACATGGGATTGTGCAGAAGACACATGTGTGGCCGGAGCTGCCTGAAGGCAGAGCCAGCAGGTGTAGAGCAGGTAAGTCTTGTGGCATTTGGAATGCAAGTGCTTCTGGAGTTTGGATGGCAGCTAAAAACTGTTTTTGATGAGCTACAACAGGAAAATCCCAAACTTGCTCAGAGGCTCAGGGAATAAAAGAAAAGAAAACCTGGCTGGACAGGGTGGTGACTCCAGTGGGAGCCCCGCGTGCAGCTCCAGCCCAGCCACCAACAAGTGGTATTTCATGAATTCCTGCCTTTGAGTGACAATATGTAACATGAGTTCTAATAAGTCTTAATAATAAAATTTCGTAGTCAGATATAGTGGGAAATGCTGAGAGATCAGAGAGACTAAGGAGCAAAATCCAGCTGCCTTACCTACTCATCTTCCCAGTCAAAGAGAGACTTATCACTTCCCTCTCTGCCCAGCCATATCATTTCCTATCTGTCTATATAGACCTCCAGACACCTATGAATAATTAGGAGCTAGCTCCACTCTATGATCTTCAGGCAAGCTTTATTTGTTGGAGTATAAACAAGATATCACTACAGGTTACTCTTGTAAATTGAAGGATTTATAGCTAGGTTGGTGTTTACCTTTCTCCTTTGGTCGTGTGCAGAGTATATTCCAACACCATATAGGGGTGAAATCTTTAGGCAGTTGCCAGCTCAACTTCTCTGTGTTCAGTGTATTAAGCAAGTGTTGTCTTCAACAATAGGCCTTTACCATCAGTTTGTGGAAAGCAACCTATAGCCTGGGCTTTTTGTCCAACAACTAACTCAATTAGATATAACCCAATCCTAATACTGGTAGCTTCATTTTGTGACAAGAAATGTCCAGTTGCTGCTCCATCTTCCCCATTATTTGGCAATTTCATTTAGGTCAGCTTCATATATGTATATATCATAGGAAGCGTCTACTGTATTAGGTTTATCTTTTAAATTATTGTGCAATAATGCAAAACACATTGTTTTGCCAATTACTACTAGTCATGATGAGTACCAATAAATTTGAAAACAAGACAAAAATAGTTTCTAAAAAGTAAAAACGTCACATTGTTTTAAAAAGTGGAATAAGCTAATAAAAGCCTAGGTACCAAGGAATAAATTGTGGTCTTGAGAGCTGGCTCAGTAATGGAGAGTGCTTGCTGAGTTTCCATAGGAGCTGAGTTCAATTCCCAGCATCCACCTCAGCATGCTCTCAACTTCATATAACTCTATCCACAAGAGATCCACCCCCCCCACTTCTGATCTCTGCTGATACCTGCACACATATGACAAACATGCATGCACATAACCACAAATAAAAAATTAAAAAGTAGAAGACATTGAATTAGAATTCCAATAATTTTTATAAACACATTCTACCAAATCTTCGGAGAATAAATAATTGCCTTATAAAAGATGATAGGTAGGCAGAGAGGTGGGTAGGCAGGTGGGTGATGTGGGGTCCATTCAATTCAGTCCAACTCAGGCACCACGTCCAGACAAAAGTAAAAAGTGTATTGTAATCAAAACCTTGACTGAGGGGATCAGGGATGCAGAGCAGACTCAGGAGCTGAACTGCGACTCTGCCTCCAGTTTTCACAGAGTTTTTAAGCAAATCAGATAAAAACCAACCTATGCTTATGTGCACTTATTTACAGAAGCTTTAAATGACTTAAGATGTCAGAATTGTCAAACCACTGTACAAATTCTGGGAAACGGTAGAAGAAGTGCTAATAACACTGAGGGAAAATTAAGTAGGTCACAGGGGATTGGGGTGCGTGATGTGAAATTCCCCCCAAAAATCAATAAAAATTTGTTTTTAAAAAGGAAATAACAGACTTCTAGGAGATAACAACCAAACATACATAAGATGAAAATGAACTATAATAAGAAGAAGCAAAATCCATCACATCAAAGTTGGATGAGGCAACCCTACAGAAGGAAAAGGTCCTCAAGAGCAGGCACCGGAATCATAGTTCCACTCATTCTCGCATCCAAGGATCCCATGAAAATACTAAGCTGAAAGCTATAATGTATGCAGAGGACCCGGTGCAGGCCGGTGCAGGCCCGTGCTTGCTGTTTCAGTCTCTGTGAACTTATACGATCGCCGTTGACTCAGAGAACCATGTTTTCCTGGTGCCCTCCTCTTGTCTTGACACTATTTCCATCTCCTCTTCCATGGATGTGGAAGCTCTGAGGACAGGGATGTGATGAAGATATCCCAACTAGAGCTACTTGTTCCAAGGACTCTCTTTGACGTCTGGCTGTGGGTCTCTGCTCCCGTCTGCTGCAGGAGGAAGCTTCTCTGATAATGGCTGAATATGGCACTGATCTATGAGTATAGCAGAATATCATTAGGAATCATTTTATTGAAACTCTTTTTTAAAAAGCATCAATAGTGTTTGCTTTTACCCCAGGTCTCTAGGCTATCTAGCCTCTTGATCACCCAAAAACTGTTGGGTATGGGTTCCTGTAAATGATTCTTTTACCATTTATCAATAAACAAATCCCATGCACAAATATTAAAGGAAAAAGAAAACTGCTCAGCTGAGGTTCAGTTCAGAGGGAACCTGAAGCTGAGAAAGGCTTCTGGGGTCATAACTTACCAGTATACTCATTTGTCTCCCTTAGTAAACTACTTAAGGGCAAGCCTGCTCTCCATTTTACCCCTGGAGCTTACACCATGTTCAATTAACTCTGCTAAATCGGAGTATAAACACATTAAACCAGTTTGCAAAAATGGCTTGGGTATTACCATGTGGAGCCCTCTCTGTGAGCCAAACAGAGGAACACAGGGCTTGAATTACAACGGTTGTTTACTTTTGCAGCCTGTGGGATCCGAGAGGACTGAGATGCGTGTACAGCAGATGTGCAGCGGAAGCGGAAGCGAGACCCAGGGTTCCATCCCCAGCCAGCCCGGCACGGGTGACCGCGGTTCCAATGCCTGCTGCTTTTGCTGGTGCTGCTGCTGCAGCTGCTCATGGTAAGGCTTTTCACTAAGGCACTGACGCGGAGGGGGCTTTTGACCACAGCCTATTTACAACACATCTATAAAATGACATTTGGTTTGGCTTGTTGGTAGCTCAGGCTGCCCTTCCAAATTACTTACTCTAGGTTCAATTCACAGCACCCACATGGCAATTCACAATTGTCTGTAACTCCAGTTCCAGGGGATCTGACACCCTCACACAGACATACGTGCAGACAAAACACCAATGCAGATAAAATAAAGATATATAAATTAAAATATGCTTTAAAAGAGATTTTTAAAAGAAGGAAGATAGAAAAAAAAAAAACAAATTAGTCATGGTGGATGTGAGACAGGGGCAAACAGGTCTTTAGTGCTTACTGGTCCGCCAGCCTAGCTTGAACCAACGAGAGCCTTGTCTCAGAAAACCCAAACAAACAAAAGCCTTAGGAAAGCCACTTGATTTTGCCCTCTGGCCTCCACATGCATAGGTACCCAACAAACATACAATCTCACACAATTGAATAAGCAATAAAACTCAAAAGAAAAAATGAAAAGGTGAAACTTAGACAAGATAATTACAATGACCTTAATAAAGGATTTATATCCATAATATCCTGATGTGGGATGTCTTTCTGCATGATGTGAATGTGTGTTGCTTTTATAGGTTGACAAATAAAGCTGATTGGGCCAATGGCTAGGCAGAATAGAGCCAGGCCAGAAATCCAAACAGAGTTACAGAAAGAAAGTAGGCAGAGTCAGGGAGATGCCATGTAGCCTCTGGAGAAGCAAGATGTGCGATAACAAGTCATTGTGGTAAAATATAGAATATTAGAAATGGGTTAATTTATATGTAGAGCTAGCCAGTAAGAAGCCTAAGCCATCAGCCAAACAATTATAATTAATATCAAGCCTCTGAGTGTTTATTTGGGAACTGGTAGGCCAGACAAGAAAAAACAAACCTCCAACTACAACAAACAAAGAGTTTCAGGACATAAAATGACCAAATGAAAACTAGCATCAAATGGCACAGAAAAGGTAAGCTATATGTGCTCCTGCCAACAAGATTAAGATAAATGCAAGTTGGTAGACTGATATGGTGGTGCACACCTTTAATCCCAGCACTCAGGAGGCAGAGACAGGCAGATCTCTGTGAGTTCAAGGCTAACTTGATTACTACATAGTGTGTTCCAGGACAGGAGGGGTACAGAGAGACCCTGCCTCAAAAAAAAAAAAAAAAAAAAAAAAAAAAAGTTGAATGCACACTCTTCTAAATGTGTACTTAAAAGCCCCCTACGAAACAGTACATCGAATGCAGAAAACATATTGATGAGAAAATGGAATGGGGTTCCATAGTTCACAAACTTGGTGTCTTCAGGCTATTGTCACTTAGACCCATGTGCTACAGGAGGAAAGCAATTACAGAGTAATGGATATAGTAAAAGAATGCTTGTATATTGTGCATAGTAGCATAATCATGAGCAAGAATGATGGACAAATTAAGCTTGATGGTTATCTCTCAGGTAGAGAACAGGCAGACCACACAACAAAGTGTATGTAGTTTGAGAAGAATTTTCCCCCAAATTAACAGATTCATAATTGTCCTGAAATATAATGCATTGATTTCTCGTCAGTGGAAATCAATTCAATTTCCTTGATTTTTCCCCCTCAGCATTGTTTTAAGCTGTTTGTATACATTGTAGTAACAGTATAACTAGCAATATTTTCCTAAGCTCCAATGACATCCTTCCAGAATTCCAATCCATGGCCTTCTGATACAAAGGGAAGCACTCAGATTTTTATCCTCTAAAATACAAACATTTTAACCACTGTGAGTTGTTCCTGCTTCTGTAAATAACACCTCACTCACGCTCATGTAAGCAAAACTAACTCATTGGGCCAACGACAAGAAAGAAAAGGGGGCATAAAAGTAGAAGGACCGGCTGGAGAGAGGAAGGGGGTCAGTGGAACAAGGGGACAAGGGAGGGTAATAAATGAATGTGACCAAAACACACTATATTCATGTGTTGTGGTGGTATTGTGTTTATGATGTAATAAAGCTTACCTGAAGATCAGAATGCAAAGCTAGCCACAGCCATAGAGCCAGGCAGTGGTGGCACACACCTTTAATCTATCAGGAGATAGAAGCAGATGGATCTCTGTGAGTTCAAGGCCACCCTGGGCTACACAAGAGTAAATCAGTCTAAAAGAAACTGAGCTCACAGATTCCAGCAGTAGGGAGGTAGAGAGAGGAATGATATGGCTAGGTGGACAGAGGAATATAAGGCAGGAGGAGACAGGAATGCATTGCAGTGTGTTAGTATTCAGGCATCTGTACCGACCTGTCCTTGGGGTTCTGACAGGATACGCCCTCAGCAGCAGCCACTAACAGCACCACCTGTGCACATTCACTACATTACCTTTTAAAAGGCCCTGCCCACCTCCCCTCCTTCCCATCCTTCTCTCTTTCTTTCCTTTCTGCCTGTTGCTTGCTCTCTCTCTCCTCCTCCTCTTCCTCCTCTCCCCCCTTTCTCCCTCCTCTTTCCTGCTGCTCCTGTCTCTGGAGGTCTATTCCCCGCTTCCCCTTTCTCCTTTTAATGATCTCTTTCCCTAGTTAAAAACAAAAACAAAAAAACCAAAGCAAACCCTTACGCTTGAACCCTTTGCCTGTCACATGGCGGCCTCCTCTCAAGCGCTGCTTTCCCTAAATTAACACGGTGAGTCTGAGCAGCAGTGCAGCTGGGGGCAGTCTGAAGTCCACTGGGTCATCTCTGCAGTTGAGCATTGGTAGAGGTGAGACCTCTTTAGTGGCTGACTGCTTTGCTCATCTCATGTTCAGCTTGAACCCCAACATCTGTCTCTGGGTTTTCATTATTTGTGCTATGGTGAGGGAAATGCCATTAGCAATTATAATCAACATTTGTTAATAAAATGAACTTTAGCTTTTTCCTGCCTCACTGGAAAGGGAAGCCCCTGAGTCTTACACGGCACTGCTGAAGTGTGGCGAGCAGGGCCTTGGCTTGTGTTCATCATCCTCTACTGGGAAAACAGCCACAGAAGACCCTACAAACATGGGGAACCAAGAATAGCCTGCATATTTTTGTCCAGAGGACACTGTCCCCTTTAAAACATTTCTGTTTTTGCAAAATAAGGTGGAAAAAATGTCAAAGTTCACAATAGAGCATCCAATTCTCTTTGCTGCCTTGTCTCAAATTCACGGTTCCTTTTTCTCTTTGCTTTTGCATTCCCACTGTGCAGTCATGTGTTCTGCTTACAAAGAAGCCAGGAAGTCAGGCAGGATGAATGCTCATCCAGATAGGATGCCACCCCAGAGCCTCTCAAGTGTTTTGCTTTTGTTTTGTTTTATTTTTAAAACCCATTATTTATTGAAAAGTTTTAGCCTTAGCTTCATAAAAGAAGTAAGTCAAAAAGATTACTGCATTTTTAATGATCTTGCCTTTATGTCAAAATAGATATCTCTGTCTGTCTGTCTCTCTCTCTCTCTCTCTCTCTCTCTCTCACACACACACACACACACACACACACACACACACAAATCACTTACCAAACTGATTGCTAAAAGCAGGCTAAAACACAAACACTTTCCTAAGATAAAATGTTAAGAAAAAACATAGGAAAATGAACAGAAGCACTAATAATACATACTAGCAAAACAAAAAGCCTCAATCATCAATCACACAAATTCATTTGTAGGGGATAAGAGGGTTGCTCAGCATTCACAAAGCATCAAAAAGAAAAAAAATAAGTTGTTGGGATTCTGAAACTTTCCTGCTAAAGTTAAGAATAAGAGAAAGACATGGCAGTCTCTCCCACTGTCTGACATTGTGTGGGAGGCATCAGCCCAGAGAAAGCATATAGATAGACCCTAGGATTTGGAATAGAATGGAGAAAATCCTCCCATTTTTAGATGATGTAAAATGCCATGAAAGTCCAAAAGAACCTCTATTAGACAGATGAATAAAGAAAAAGAATATAAAATCCATAAAAATAACTATGATTAGCGCTTGTATCTAAACTATATAAAGATACTACAGGTAAGAGCACTGGCTGCTCTTGCAGAGGATGTGGGCTCAGTTCTCAGCATCCACACAGTGGTTCGCAAACACTTGTAACACCAGTTGGAAGGGATCCATCCAGCACCCTTTTCTGACCCCTGCAGACATCAACCATGCCTGTGGTGCACAGACATACATGCAGGCAAAACACCCATGGAAACAAAAATAAAATCTTTAAAACATGTAAAGCCGTATATCTCAAAAGTAAAAGATGAACTGATACTTAAATATCAAGGAATAGAAAAGGACATGTCTTCAGAAAAAATATGTGAGAGCTAGCAATATATGGAAAGGGTCTTGATAACATCAGTCATTAGTAAAATACAAGTCAAAATGACAGGGACATTTCATATCCACCAAGCCAACAACAGGAGGGAAAGGATCCAAGACTTGAGACCCTGCAGATGTTTGAGGAGTGTGCCCAGGAAAGGAGAGGGTTCCTCAAATGATAAGCGGGCATCGTCTGCTTTGTATCTGTGGGTATAGAGCGTTTTAGCAGTGGGTGACTTTACCCTCTGAGCCATCTCACTAGCCCCACCAAAACAAAACACAAAACTCATTTTCTTCTGTTTGTTTTGATTTTTTTTTTGGACAGGGTCTCACTGTGTACCCCTGGCTGGCCTAGAATTCATAGAGACCTGCCTCTGCCTTCTGGCTGCTGGAGTGGGGGCATGTATCACCACCTCTGGCTTGTTTACTTTTTAAAAAGATTTATTTACTTTTATTTTTTTATTTGTGTGTTCTTCCTACAAGTTAGTATCATGTATGAGACTGGTGTCCATAAAAGTCAGAAGATGTCCAGTCCCCTGGAACATGAGCCTCCCCATGGGAGCTGGGAACTGAACCCCAGTACTCTGAAGAAAGTGCTTTTTATCTCTCAGCCATCTCTCCAACCCACTTTTGGTCTTCTTAAAAATAACAATCAGGGTCACATCTTTAAAAAAAAATAGTAATTCCATTTGAGTACCTAAAATTATCTTTAAAAATATTCATTTGGGAAGTGCATTCCTTCAGATATCCCTATCAACATGCAATTAATTGTCTTGTTTCTTACAGTCTCACGGTCAGAAACCAGGAAGACCAGAGACCCAGGAGAGCCTCCCATGAGCTCAGAACAGACATCCCAGCATGTGAAGAAAGGTGAACTCTTGGTTTTATTAGTTCGCAGTACTGATCGAGATGCCAGCATCTCCCTTTTGCATTTCAACAGAACGCATATATTTTCACTTAACTACCTGTAGTAACATCAGATCTCAATGTGGCTTTCCATTTCCCCTGCAGAATTCCTTCTAACTCGTTTCAAAACGGGAAAAATCAGCCCACTCTTTGGTTCCAACGATGAATCACAAATAGAAATCCATCCTTCTTGACAACCCATAACGATGTAATTTTATTTTTACATAATATATTTTTAAGAGCAAAAACCATAAAAACCATGATGTTTGGTCTTCAGGAAAACTGAAGAATTCCATGTTTCAGTTACAAATTAATTCTAAATGGCTGAAAAAATGTTGTATGACTTTTCCTGGAAGACATGACCCAGCATCTACCCACCCTAGACAGGCACTGACAGCGGATCAAAGACTGAATGGGCCAGGGAGAGTGTGGAGTTACGCACAGGAACACAGCAAGGGGTTGCCTGCAGAAACATGGGTGACTCAGAGGCAGATTCATCCCCAAGGCCCACTCAGCACAGGTGATGGCTCACAAATGCTGCAACCCTGAATGTTCACAGGCACTGGGGGGCCAAGGGTCCCTTCCCTAGAAATCATGATTGCTTGTAAGTCTCAAGGAAGTGGCGTGAATGTCCCACCGTTCTGCTTGCTGGTGTCTGGGTCTGTAAGCCTCCCTCCTTTATTTTTATGTTTCAGTTTAACTTGGGGGTATTTGATACATGAGTTGGGAGCCCAGGTCTAATGGATCTTCCAGCTCTCTTCCTGCTTCTCCTTATGCTGGGTTTTGGTGTGCAACCTCCACGCCCAGTTTTGTACTGCTTTTCTGTTTATATTTCTTTGTTGGAGGAAGCTTCTGTCCACCTGGTCCTGCAGCTGTTCAGTCCCAAATAAACACACAGAGGCTTATATTAATTATAAACTGTTTGGCTCGGGCTTCTTACTGGCTAGCTCTCTCTTTATTATTAACCCATTTCTACTAGTTTATGTATCGCCACATGGCCTTAGGCTTACCAGAAATGCCCATCATGCTATCTTCCCAGGAGTTACATGGCGTCTCTCTCTCAACTTACTCTCTGTGTTCCTCTTCCCAGAATTCTCCTAGCCTGGTAGCTCCTCCTACACTTCCTGCCTGGCAATATGAATACATATATATACATATATATGTGTGTGTGTGTGTGTGTGTGTGTGTGTGTATATATAGCATACAGAAAGACATCCCTCATCATTTCATCCCTTAACTCGTTTCTTTTATCAAATTTCCTAATGATTTGTCTTCCTTTAACTATTCTTACATCTGGTTTTTATCTTATTCTTTCTTAAATTTTTATGTAAGTATTTTGCATGCATATATATATATATATATATGCATGCCTGGTACCTATGAATCAGAAAGGGCTGTTAGGTCCCCTGGGACTGGACTTACAGAAGTCTGTGAGCCACCACATGGGTGCTGGGAATGAATTTCTAGTCGTCTACAAGAACAGGCTGTGCTACTGACTGCTGAGTCATCACTCCAGCCCCTTTATGCCTATTCTGAATGTTATGCACTTATAGCTGCAGACATTGGGCAAATATCCTGACAGCATTGTTCAGATAATTTTCTATTCACTTGTCTGTCTTTGCAGATAGAATAGCAGTCCATCCCAGTTATGTAAACTTCTTTTCGTCTTTACATTATGTGCATTTGCCCACATTTTTAAAGTCTGGGAGATACAACAGCAGCCCTGCCCACTTCCCACAGTATATGAATTTGTTGGAAACAGCAGGGTATCTCACAGACCCTAGGGCGCTGGATTCTGTGCCACAGCTCCCAAGCACTAGGGCAGGGTAGAGAAAGCTGATTTTCCTGCTGTGTGACCTTCAGCCTTGGCTTAATAATGGCCACCTTCTGCCTTCATTCCTGCCTGTGTAAAGCAAGGATGACGATAGTTCGTTGTAGCTAAGCCAGTCAAGGGTGGTTGTGAATACTGAGTAGGGAAGTGAGCTTGGCCAAAGGCAAGTAGGTATCCCGTGTAGCTTGACCTGGCTTTGTTCTGAGTCACATCCAACTAACAAAACACAGCGATAAAGGTCTGCTTTCTGGTGCAGATGCTCATAGTGCTAAGTGGGTGCTTCACCATGGAGTCACACCCCCAGGCCTAGAACATGGGCTGACTGTGACTGAAGATCTGCTTGGGTGCTAGGTATGCATACATTTGACTGCACTTGATGTCATCTGCTCTAGTACTAGTTATACATAATTAGTTGCATTTGACTTGTGTGACTCTAATTGTTGTGACTTTTTTTTGGTAAACATTACATAGCCTTTGGAGTCTGTCTTTAAGTGAGCATTTGAATTTAATGATATTGGCAGTCATCTTGATCATTATTAATATATTTAGTCTTTCAGTCAGTGTTGCGCCTGACTTCTTATGGGAAGAAAGGGGTTCCTTGGCTCATGCTTCCAAGCCACGGTTAATCAGTAAGGGAAATCAGGACAGAACCTGAAGTAGCGGCTTGAAAGAATACCCACTTGCTATTTCATGCAGCATCACCTCTAGCCAGGGACCTTGCAGTCCAGGACGTACCACAGGAACTGTGGAGGATCACTGCTAAATGTCTCACTCACACTCAGATAGCTCCTTACACAGCCTAAGACTGTCTGCCCAGGAAATGTACAGGCCACAGTGGACTGCGCTCTCCTATTTCAATTAACAATCAAGAGCTACATTTGGCCATCTGAAAAAAAAAATGTTCTCAAGCATACAGAAAACATTTGTAACAGTTGACCAAGCTTTTTCTCATAAGGTTTGGTTTTGCTTTTTGTACTTGTTTGTGTTGTTTGTTTGATTGATCTTTGCTTGTATTGTTTGGGTTTGGGACAATGCCAGAGATGGAATCCACAGTCTCGCACATGCTGAACACTCTTCTGCCACTGGCCTACCACGTGACATAGAACAGGCTGGCCTCAGACTTACAATCTTCCTTCCATAACCTCCGGGGTAGTGGAGTTAGGGGCGGGTACCCCATCCAGGTCTGGCTTTTGTAAACTGTCTGAATATTTACTCTAGAATCGTTATTGATCAGACTGTACTACTAGTCCCAAAACAATTAAAACAACAGTCAGGAGTTTTAAAAAAACATACACAGCAAAATCCTCTTCGGTTTGATATTTCTAAGATCCCTTTCAATTCAGTACCTCCTCAACAAATAAAAAATAACCATATGAAAATGTAACTTTATCAAGAATGGGGCACAGAGAATGCAATAAATAGAGCAAACATAAATCTTAATAGTTTTTTATTTACTTACTCTCTTTTTTCTTTTTTGAGACAAATTTTCTTTATGTAGCCCTAGCTGTCTAGCTGTCTTAGAACTCACTATGTAGAGAAGGCCAATCTCAGTTCAAACTCACAGAGCTCTGCCTGACTCTGTCTCCAGCTACACCTGGAAAAAAACCTTAGTATCTATAAGAAAAGAAACTGATCATTAGTGAGTCAAGTCCAACTTCCGCACAAGAGGGAGGTATTAACATACATAGAAGCTTAAAGGGTACAAATAGCTCCACACTGTTAAACTGAGTGAGCAATTGATAACTCTCTAAATTTATTTGCATTAAAAAGTATTCAAGCCCTGGTAGCTTAAAACATATAAAATCTCTTACATCGAAGTTCCAAGGCCAGAAACCCAAGATCCAGAGTGTCAGCAGGGCCAGGGTTTCTCTGTACCGAGTCCCTGGAGCAGACTCCCTTCCTGTGTCCTCTGGCCCTGGGCAGCTGCCTGCACCTCTGGTGTACACTGGCTTGTACACATGGTGCTCCAGTCATATGGCCACCTTCTCCATGTGTCCCCGGAGATCTCTCTCTGCTCACGTCTGTACCAAATTTCCTCTGCCAATAAGAGTTTCAGTTTTATTTCAGATTAAGCCCGGACTAGTGACCTGACCTCACCCTAACACGGTTAAGTCTGCAAGTGTCCATTCTTTTTCTTTATAATAATTTCTTTTTAGATGTACAGGTGGATGCTTTGCGTGCATGTATGTCTGTGTACTACACGAGCGCCTGGTGTTCTAGCAGCCACCATGTAGATGCTAGGAATTGCACGCGGGGCCCCTGGAAGAGAAACCAGTGCTCTTAATAGTTGAACCATCTCTCCAGCCCAAGGACCCTCTTGTAAATAAATAAGCCCATATTCTGAGATTCTGGCAATTGAACTGCCTATGGGTGACAAAAATCCAACCCCATGGCTTTGCAAAAGTCTCTTTATTGTTACACAAAAGACAATTTCCAAATGCCAAAGCCTCTCTGGGAGCTGTCTGAAGGAACCATCATCACCTAAGCAGCTCTCCTCCCATTCCAGACGTCCTGGTTTGCCGGGTTTGTCTACAAAGTTGTGCAAAGGCTGTGAATCCTTCAGGAAGAGCAACTCAGGCAACAGTCCCTGACTATTTACAAAAGTTACTGCAGAGTCCCATCCCATCACTGGGGAACTTATATGGCAGGTACAATGTATATGGATTCAGGCTGACCCTGCCCCCAACAACTGGCAGGGTGTGCACACTGGCATTCAGGCAGATACTTAGACAGCTCAAAGGGCCCTGTGTTGTGTGTGTGGCTATGTCATGCAGTATGTGTTCCGTGGCTTTGTAAGGACTCTGTATGCATGTGCAAGCTTTCCCATTTAAGCGAGCGCTTCCCATCTGTTCGCCCCTTCTTCCCCCTTCCTTCTCCCCCTTCCGTCTCTGTTCCCCATTGGCCAACACCTACCCCTCCCCTTGTTCCCTTTCCCCAATAAACTCAGTGTGGGTTCTGTTGAGTTTTGTGGTTCATTGCCCACAGCTGAAGCAAAACACCACCACAATGGATCTGGTGAATCCCTACACCATCCCTCATAATTTGGGATTATAGCCTGTATGTTCTTTTCTCTTCCTCAAATACAGTATGAATCGTAAAATATATTCTGTGGACATTGCCCATTAACGTTCTGTTGGGCCAGTGTTAATTGTGACTTAGCGGTCTGAGATAATTAAGAAATTTGAGGCTGGATGGTGGCAGGATTCTTCACTTCTGTACCCAGATGTGAACAAAGTGTGGTTGTAAGGTTGGTCAAGAAGTTACAGTGTGCTGGGCATTGGTGGCGGATGCCTTTGTTCCCAGCAGAAGCAGGCAGATCTCTGTGAGTTTGGGGCCAGCCTCATCTATGAAGCTAGTTCCTGGGTAGTCAGGCAGTTACACAGGGAAACCTAGTCTTGAAAAACAAACAAACAAACAAAAATGAAGAAGTCACAACATATTCCATCAGAGCCACTTGCCACAGCTTGTAAATAGCTTTGTTCAAGGCTTAAGGAGATAGAGAATGATGCTCTCTTCCTAAAAGAGCCAACCATGTGTGTACTTTAAAGCAGAGACAGAAGGCTTTGTGACAAACCTGGATGCACCAGCAGTAATATCTCCCTTTGTTCCTTTGACCACTGCCCAGCCCTACCCCCACTCTGGAAGAAGTCTGTGCCTGGGCCCAGTCATTTGACAACCTGATGGTCACTCCAGCTGGAAGGAACGCATTCCGGGAATTCCTTCGGACAGAATTCAGTGAAGAAAACATGCTTTTCTGGATGGCCTGTGAAGAGTTGAAAAGGGAAGCTAATAAAAGCACTATTGAGGAAAAAGCCAAGATAATATATGAAGACTACATTTCTATTCTCTCTCCTAAAGAGGTGTGTGTCTGCAAAACTGTCTCCTTAGAGCTGTTGCTAAATCGCCTACTTCTAAGTTTGGTCATGTGGTGTTTGCACACGTAGGGATATTCCAACACACAGCCATAGCAATCGGATCCAGGGGACCCAGAAAAAAGTGGGAAGCATTTTTCAGGGTTTTTTTTCCCCCTTGGGAAAAACATCTGCTTCCCAGCAGCTTTGTTGCAGAGGAGTGCAGGCCCTCACACTGACACTGGCTTTTTTTCTGGGGTGTCTTTCTAGTCACAGCGGTGCTCAACGGTGCTGAGACTGTGAAGATTTTCCCCATGGCATCTTTAATATCACATCCTTAATATCACAAAATATGTATGGGAGTGAGGTTAAGCAGGTTCCCATCTCTTAGCATTTGTTCCTTCAAATCTGCATCCTGAAAGAGGTTGTTTTTTAATTGAGGTGCCTTGTATCACCAATTTCACAATCACTGTTATCTCCTATTGTGTTCGGCTAAAGCAGTGGTTCGTTATAAGACAGCAGCTCTGCTCTTCTGGGCCAGGGACTTCACAGAGGCAGGAAGAGCCATGAGCATCCATGTATGATAATGGCCCAACATCCTCAGGGTGGGGCAGTACAGCAAGTCATAGGAAGACAGGATGAAGATGGAGAAGGAAGTTGCTAGAAGCACAAGGGAATGGGGACATCCTGGAGCTGAGGCCAGTTAAGCCGATGATGTTTTGGTATATGAGCAGTGAACATGGCAGCAGCAGGTGCCCTGAAGTGCCAGTAGCAGCAAATTATCAGAGCTGTGGTAAACAACGGCAGACCTAGAGAAGGGAGATTCTGCATGGCAGAGCTATACAAAACGGGGTTCCATTTGTGCCTTGTTTTAGAACTAAAAATGTTTTAGTTTTCTGCTATTAAAAACTACCAGCTTGACCCTATGACAGGACTCCCCTCTAGATAGTGGTCTGCTCACTATAAGAATCTTCTAGTGGACTTCATCAGGCAGAGCAGACGGAAAAGCTGTCCTAGGCAGAAGAAACAAAAGACGACCATTCTAGATTCTTCCTTCCTTCCTTCCTTCCTCCTTCCTTCCTTCCTTCCTTCCTTCCTTCCTTCCTTCCTTCCTTCTTTCCTTCCCTCCTTAAGTTCCTGGGGGTTCAGACACCTTTTGAGCTAATAACATGGAGCTAGAAATGAGAGCTTCCGAACTGGGAAGCCCTGACAGAAATCCGGCAACACAGGGTGTGGCAGAGGGGAAGGAGACAGACAACTGTGTTAAAGAACTCGTAGGATAGTGGTGCTCACCTGTAATCCGAACGCCTTGGACACCAAGTTCAAAGTTACTTAGTGGGAACTGCCCAGAAAGGAGGGGGAGGGGGAGGGGATGGGTGGGGGGAGAAAGAAAAAGAAAATAAGAGATACACAAGGCACTAAATTGTGGGAATGGATGGGTCCATTGAAAGAGCTTGCTGGTTTTCAAGCACTTTATTTCTAATAAAAATACAGCCGGGCAGCAGTGGCACACACCCTTAATCCTAATTCTCAGGATGCAGAGGCGGGCAGATCTCTGAGTTCTGGGTCAGCCAGGGCTATTATACAGAGAAACCCTGTCTCGAGAAATCAAGCAAAGAAAAAAAACTTTATAAACAAACAAGCCTAGAAACAACTGTCATTTCACTTTGCTAGATGAGTTCATTGATAGGAATTCACACTTAGCTTAGATACAGCAGTGACAGCTGGGATAGTGAAAGAAGAGGTATTAGCTCAGGACCTCCCAGGCCAAGTTCTCAGCACAAAGCAGACTGATGCCCCCCAGAGGGACAGAGCTCAGGGATGGGGGACACAGAGAGAAGATAGAGGGGGAAGGGAAAGGGGGAGGGGCATTTGTCGCCTGCCTCTGGATAGAGGAGACAGGTGGGACTCGTAAGCAAATGATGTTTATAGAGGTGAAAGGAGAGAGCCTGTGTTAGAGTGGGGTGTTTAATTTACATTGGGGTGGTAATTAGATGAACCAAAGGGGGTGTTTGATTGCTGGTGTTCAATACTTTGCTAGGTGGACCTTGGGAGTCAGCCTCAAAACGAGGGAGTGGCCACATAAGGGGATCGACCTTGGGGACTAGCTTCAGGAATAGCATCTACAGTTTTTAGCAAGGTAGAGGGGACTGGGGAGGAGGGCAAGGCCTGCCAGAGCCACATGCTCAGGTGGGCAGAGTCCCTTCAGAAAGAAGCCTGGGTGTCACTTCCAGGCCTGTGACTTCAGCCCTTCACTTTATAGACGCCTTCCTGTGGGCCTGGACTGGCGCCAGAAGCCTACACCCAGTTCCTGGCTGGGCAGGAGCCTGCAACTCCCAGGTTTTCCCTTCATTACCAGGGCTAATCTTCTATCTTCAAAGGCCATCTGATAGTCGTTTAAAAGAAGCAGTGTGTAGTTTTCGAAAGCAGCCAGAGTTCCTTACAACTTGTGAGAAATACGAAGCCTGACCCCTCAGTGTGACCTGCTGAGTCCTCTGGCATTGGGCCAGCAATCTGCTCCATAGGCCTTCTCCAGGCCAACGATGCCACTCCTGGGGCCACTGAATTCCCAGAGTTCCCTTCCTCCACCTTTCGTTTCTCCCAGCAGTTCAGACTTTTGGAAGATCTTGTTTGGGTTGGTGTCTTTGGTAAGATAAACAATTATGGGAGTACGGATAGATTTACAAGAGAAATAATGGAGACAACTGCCTCTCTGTCCACAGGTCAGCTTGGACTCCCGAGTGCGGGAAGGCATCAACAGAAACATGGTGGATCCATCCCAGCACATCTTCGATGATGCTCAGCTTCAGATTTACACCCTGATGCACAGAGACTCCTATCCCCGCTTCATGAACTCCACAGTCTACAAGGACTTGCTGACGTCCTTAACTGAGAAAGCAGTTGAAGCATAGGTGGCTTTGAATATATTTATTGTTACTAAATCCAGAAAATAACTCATGGACTGCATCCAGCACAGGGAATCTAGAGGTAGGATGTTCTCTGCTAGAGTGATTCTCGGACTATTGTAGCGACAAATTCTTCCTCCGCAGAGAGCTACACAGTGTAACTGCAGCCTCCTGTAGTAATACTTGTCAGAAAAAGGGGGGTGGTGTGACAGCCTTAGGAAGGCAGTACACTCACACTCAGTAACAGTAGCGTGTTCTCAGGGCGGGGCATGCTGTAGCCTCTGTTCTGCCTGCAGCTCAGACACACAGAGCAAATGGGGGTACTTTTGTTTTGCATGAGTTAATACCCTGTTACCCTCCAAAGATGAGGCATTCAAGTCTTTCTAGGCTAACCCTTTCTTCAGTCTGAATATTTCACTTAGCGCCATGCCAGGATTGACACATTTCATGAAGATGTGACTATTCCTTGTAAAAATCCGGTGACCGAGTGCATGCATTATGGCGGTGGAGCCCACGGTGCTCAAGGTGATCAGTGTCGGGTGTCTGGTAAGGAAAGTGATACTTAAATGATTCTCCGGTCAGAAGGGGTGGCCATGTAATCAGCATCTACCAACCTGAGTAATGAATTTTCATGTTCATCGCTTGTTGTGTTCACAAAGCTTCAAATCAGCATATTTTAATTTTTGTATTGAAAGATGTGGGCATTTTCACTCTGAAAAATAAAACATAAGTTTTCTCTCGTTCTTGAATTATTTCATATGGAGTTCCTGGGGAATATGGCTCGTGTAAGATGCATACAATCTATCTTTTACCTTTCAGGTGAGTATTCCGTCTTTACATGCCAGGATTTTTTTTTTTTTTTCAATCAAAGCAAATGGAATGACTCCATAGTTTTGATAAGTTGTTGTAGACCTAAGCCACTGTCAGAGTTTCTGGTGCTGCAACAAAACACCATGATGAAAAAGCAAGTTGGGGAGGAAAGGGTTTATTTGGCTTAGACATCCACGTTGCTGTTCGTCATTGAAGGAAAAACAGGACAGGAGCTCAAACAGGACAGGATCCTGGAGGCAGGAGCTGATGCGGAGGCCATGGAGCAGATCTGTTCACTAGCTTGCTGCTCATGGCATGCTCATAACTACTTTCTTATAGATCACCTCCCCCATTGATCACTAATTGAGAAAATGCCTTACTGTTGGATCTCATGGAGCCATTTCCTCAAAATGGAGGCTCCTTCCTTCCTCTCTGATGACTCTAGCTTGTGTCAAGTGGACTCACAAAATCAGCCAGTATAGCCACCCTGATGAATTCCACATCTGCCATAGATGGGAAATATCACAGACTGGATGGTTTTTGGGAGCAGGTTAGACATTTAATCTATGTAGGCCAGGCCAGCTCCAGCCCTTGTACAAGGAGCCTTGGCCTCCCCTTGCCTGGTCCTGCAACAGCCTGGCTGGCTTTATTACTCAGTCCAACCCCAAATAGAAACCCCTTTCCCTCCCTCTCAACAAGTCGTCTCACTTCTAACTTTCCATGAAGATTGCCCTTCAGCCCTTCCACTGTCCATGAGCCCATGATTATGCATGGGCCAGCATCTCTCCTCAGCTCCTGCAGTACGTCTCAGAAAATGATCTACCATTTTGTACCTTTCTTGGTGCCAATGCCTTGCATATGCTTTTGATCCCATTTCTTCCGACCATTATTTTTACTGAACAGAGGCTGTCTTAGTTTGGGTTTCTATTGCTGTCAAGAGACACCATGACCACGGCAACTCTTACAAAGGAAAAACATTTAATCAGAGCTGACTTACACTTTCAGAGGTTTAGACAATAATCATCATAGTGCAACATAGTGGCATGCAGGCAGATATGATGCTGGAGAAGTAGCTAAGAGCCCTACATCTTGATATGCTGGCAACAGGAAGTGATCTAAGATGCTAGGTTGGTTTCTGCATATATGATACCTCAAATACTGCCTCCACAGTGACACACTTCCTCCAAGGCAACATCTCCAAATAGTGACGCTCCTTTTGGGGGCCATTTTCTTTCAAAGTACCACAGAGGCTGTAACTGTGGTTCTCCAATGGGTTACAAAGCAATGGCACCTACAATTACTACCATAAGTTTCTAAAAAGGAGTAACACAGCTCAAAGAAATTTGAAGGTTATATAAAGACTTTGGCAGAAGTCTCACCAGAGTTTAACCCTATAGAATAAGATTGTGTATGTCCTGCCAACAGTTATTACAGATGATGAAGGTATTTGAGTGACTACACAGTCAAGGACATCTGTGAGGTAATTGTAAAACATGTAAAGGGACACTAGAGAGTTTGTGTGCAGGGACCTGAATGGCCAAGAGTCTAGATTTGGAGCTGAGTGTGGTGGCACATACCGGCAATCCCAGCACTCAGGAGGCTAGAACAGGGTTTTGAGTTTGAAGCCTGGATTAGCTCTACAGAAAGACTCTGCATTAACTGTTACAACACAGATTCCAGACTAGAGGACTGGTTGGGGGGAGGGGGGGCGAGGTTTCAGCAACAGACATTTGAGAATCTCCGGGAAGGTAAAGCATGAAGATTGTTGATAAGCCCTTATGTGGATGAGAAGAGATGAGTCTCAAAGGCCTGGAAGAATTTGCCTCAATGTATGTAATAAGGAGGTGGGGACATGTTCAGAAGGACAGATGTCCCAAGCAGAGCCAATGCACCATTTCCTAGGGGTCAGCCAAGCTTTGTCCACTCTTCCACACCACTGCCCTCACCTGGACTCTTCCCCGCATTGCAGGCTTGCCTCATTTCCACAAAGAACAAGCCCATGTCCATTAGCACAACGAGCCTGTGTCCATTAGCACAGCTGACACTCCTCCCTCACAGCAGTCCCCTCCTGCCTCCATCTCATGTCCCCATCTGTACTCACACAGAGGGAGCTCTTACTATTCCAAGAAGGCATCTGTGGCTATAAAGTCATTTCCCATCACCCTTTCAGTGTGGGGGATTCCTGCCTGGAAACAATACTCTTCTGTCTTCTATGGGGCTCTCTGTATAGTCCCCACATCCTTCTCTGTTCCACATTAGGCAGCAGAACACAGTAGTACAGATAGAAGTTTCTGTCCTGCCCACTCCCACAGCTGTTTAGTTCCCAAAAAACACATCGAGGCGTATATTAATTATAAACTGTTTGGCGATTGCTCAGGCTTTATACTGCCTAGTTCTGTCTTAATTATTACCCTATATCTATTAATCTGTGTATCTCAATGTAGTCTTGGCTTACTGGTGATGCCCAGGTCTTTTGCTTCCTTGGCAGCTACCATGTCTCTCTGACTCTGCCTACCACCTTTCTCTGTCCCTGTTTGCATTTCCCACCTGGCTAAACCATGCTGTCCATTGGTCAAAACACCTTTATTCATCAGCCAATCTCTTATGAGACAAATTCGCACCATACAGAAAGACATTTTCCCATTACAGTAGCCAAACACAGGGGCTCCCCAGTCAGCATTCCCCCCACAACTCCACAGGCATGCCAGTGATGGTGCATAGTAACCCCTTTGGGGCTCTTCTCCTCCTTTGTAGGACTGGGAATAATAATAATGGCACTCTGGAAGGACTTAGACAAATCCATGTAGACTACAGTAAATACAACATGCTCATCACTGCCATCATGGCCCCTGAAATTTGAGTTTTGACTTACTTTCCCCAATTTCTTCCTGTTCACTTAAAATGTACTTACTGAATATCTACCAAATCAGGGTCTGCTCTGAAATGCTGCCCGAATTTAAGTGAACTTCTATTTGGACATCTGGTATATCTCATAGATGAGGGATACTCAGCCTGTCTTAATCATGACTCAATGCCCCACTACTAACCTTCTAAGCCCACTACACACATTCTAGTCAGTCTTTTAAGTTCTCAGTTGGTATCAACGTTGGGTCAGCTCTTCTTGTGTATTCTTCCCAAGGCCATCATGGATACCTAGACATTTCTCAGGTGTCTCTTTTTTCTCTTTCCTTCTCTGACTCAGTACTTCTCACTGTATCACTGTTAAGAAGAATCCCATGGCTGGGTGGTTGTGGCACATGCTTTTGATCCCAGCACCTGGGAGGAAGAGACAGGTGGACTTCAATTCAAGGCCAACCTGGTCTACAGAGTGAGTTCCAGGACAGCCAGCACTACACAGAGAAATGCTGTATTGAAAAAAATCAAAAGTCCCACAAACTAGTCTCCTGTGTCAACTCATGGCAACTAAGAAAAGAGAAAGACAGTTAACTGTCTGCAAACATTATCCTGCCTGGGGCAGGAAGCAAATGACGCAGTCCCTTGTACTCACTGTCCCCTTTACAGTGGGATCTAAGAGTACTCATCCAGTGGTTCTCAGACCCCCAATCCATAAAACACTTAAAATCTACCTAATTTCTATACACTGCCACTACGATGACAATTAAAATCCTTTCAGAAACTCCTACTTTGTGATTAGGAATTGTAGTTGCAGATACAGAAAACGCAGCCCTGCTCCAGAACTTCCTGAATCCAACCTTCACGGAGCTACAGCTACTCGTCACTGAAGCCAGTCTTGAGATGTGTCACTCAACACTGCTCAACATCCATCAGTTATCCTCCTGTTAGACTTGGCTCTTTACTTCTCCATATGTAGTGTTCACCTTTTAGTCCCCTGCACTGATTAATGCATCACATTTCCTGGTGGGACACTATTTTTAACCATTTTTGGAGATAGGATCTCACGTAGCCCAGGTTGGCTTTGGACTCCATGTGTAACCAAGGAGGAGTTCCTGACACTCTACCTCTAAACTCTCAGATTAAAGTATGCATCTCAATTCCTCTCAAATGATTAATTTCCCTTGGATAAATAAGGGTAAAAATGCAGGGAATAGCTGTTGATTAAAAATTCTCTAATGTGGGAGCTGGAGTACTGGCTTTTCTTCCACAGGACCCAGGTCCAATTCCCAGCACCCACATGGCAGCTCACAGCTGTCTCTAAATCCTGTTCCAGGGGACCTGACACCTTCACACACCTTTCACCATATATATGCAAGTGAAGCATCACTGTAAATAAAATACAAATAAATTATTTAAAACAACAACAAAAAAGCCTTCTCAAATGAAGCTGGGCATAATGGCACCTTTGATCCCAGCACTTGGGAGACAGAGGCAGATGGATCTCTGTTTGAGCCAGTCAGGACAGCAAGAGCTAGAGACTCCGTCTCAAAGGAAACAACAAAAAACTAAACATTTCTCAAATGACAACTCTTTTAGTTTTTATTTTTAAATTAAATCTCCAAATCACACTTTTGGGTTTTCCTCTTTTACTGTCCCCATCCCTTTACCCCTCTCTGAAGCAGAGTCTCTCTACATAGCCCAGGGTGGCCTGACTGGAACTTGCCATGTAGAACAGACTGTTTAGTGCTGGGACTTGCAGGCATGAAACAACACACACAGTGCTGATTTCCTTTGTTGTTTTGTTACAACTTCAAATATTTTTCATTTCTATATTATATATACATATATATACACACACACACACACACACACATTTGAGCTAATATAAATATTTCAGAATTTTTGTCATGCCCTAGCAACATTTCTAAATCAATGTTCAGCAGCACTGAGAGGCAAGCCAGGCTGTTACTTTCTCTTTGTGTGATGGTTATGGCTCTTCATTGTGTGCACATGTATCTGTGCAAGTAACTCTCCCCGTGGTCACTTCAGTTGTGCTGTCTAGGAAATAACTGTAAGATCCCTAAGAATGCATCTAGCATTCTTACACAAAGTCACATGTGTAACTATGTGCATCTAAGTTGAGATCATGTGACTGAAGACCACTGTTCTCCATCACCAGGAGTTCAGGCAAAGAACAGAAAATGACAGTTTTGACCTGTATGACCAAGCTTGAGTAGAACAGAGAACCTAAGAGCATGCTAATAGTTGAGGGAAGAAAAGCAGACAAAATTTTTAAAGTGTCAATAGCTAAATAAAATGACAAAGTATAACACCTGTTTAACAACAAAAAAATTTATTGATTTACAAATTTTAAAATGGATCACTTGAAAGTGGGACTATTTTAATCTTATTACTTTTAAACTAATTCTTTCAAAATGTACTTTATTTTTTAAAGTGGCAGAAATTACCGATGGACCAATCTTTTTTAACAATCTGCAGAGCAGAGCGCAAAGCCTGTGCAGTGGTCTTTACACAGACATCTGGCCAGATTCAAACACACAAGTTGTAAGCTTTGCAACAGTGGCCTTTACTATATGTATCAGAGCATCTGTATCAAGAAAGCTATGTGGAAACCACTGCTTATTACCACTGCAAAACAAGCAGAACACATTTAAACAAAGGTAAAACTTAATTGTGAAATATGCATTGTAAAACTACTTGCTACAGCCTACATTTCAGTTGGCTTAACATCATCATGTAAGAAAAAAGTCAGCACAAAAGATTCAGACTAAAAGATTTTTCTTTTTGCAACCTCCATATGCAAACAGCACAGCTTAATGATTAACACAGTTCTTAGGCTTAGTCCTTGTTCAGTAGATTCCCAAGTGCAAGTCCAGTCCAGGGAACTCTACTATGATACTGACATTTCCTTCCCAGTATGTCTTCCTATGGGCGAAAAGTCACCAGAAGTATGCCTGTGAGTGGCTTTGTAAAAAGCCTAGAAACTATAACAGAGTTCTGTGAAACTAAAATAGAGTGCAAAGTCAAATAAAACCAAATTGATTGTAATTAGGTCAATTCTCAAAGAAAAATCTATTAAAACCAGTAATATACATGAATGAGAAAGACAAGAAATGATCACTGCTGTTAGTAACAGATGCAAGATCTAGGGACTCGAGGCTTTGTGAGCACGGTAATTAAGAACAAATTGATATACTAATTCAAATAGTGTGCACAATTTTGATAAGCTGGTCAAGTACTACTGGAATACATATCATTTTTTTTTTTTAACTCTGACGTTTGTATTACTCCATTTCTCCTCCTTTAATATTTTAGGTACATAACAATGAGAAAAGCAATTTGTCTTTATGCATTAATGGAGAACAACACAATATTTAATAAAATGTAACATAAACTTACTTATAAAATTTTAAAAATGTGACACATTAGATACATTATCTAATTCTTCTATGGCCTCCTGGCTGACTTGAAACCATAGAAGGCCTTTAAGAAAGATGTTAGGTGAGAAACAAAAACCAATCCATGGGATGTGTACTGTTTACAAATATCATTTGCAGAGAAATAAGTTGCCTGGCCTAATTTTAAAGCTAATTACAAAATCCATTTTTCTTAATGGTCCAGATACCTTGCCGATTCTTCCAACTCAACAGAACTGCAAAAAAAGAAAAAAAAGAAATAGATTTTAAAAATACAAACAACGGGTATATATCTCAGCTTTATGTACTATATGAAAGGAGTAACTTTGAAAAAGACTTTCTATACCCAGTAGACCCTCATTTTGACTTTCCACCACAGAATTACAAGGACAGTGTAAGTAAAGAACAAATTTGCAACATTTTGAGCATTTTTAGTGTTTCTTATCAGCTTTCTACATTAAAATGAACTGTCTTAAATTCATTAGGTACCATATACTTTGAGCATTTTTATGTTTCTTATCGGCTTCCTACATAAGTACCATAAGGCACAGCCTGTTTGATGAACTGCTTATAGTAAAACAAACTACTGTATCTGCTCACTGCAGTGATACAACTATCCAGCATGTACGTAAACAGATCTAAGAGATGTATCTAGTCAGGCCAAGTTTGTTCAACAAGATTGGAAAGGGACAGGATGACAGATGGGGAGCTCAGGTATTGTTCATGCCTACTACATGAGGAAACAATAGACCTGTGAGGGTGAGATGCAAGGGATTTCCAATCATTGTGTGACTCCAAAGACTTGACCTTACCATGGGCATCTGTCTCCCAATCCCACACTACTAACAGCCTCATCTTAGTAATAATAAAGGTAACCTTGGGACTTTAACTAATAATGTGCAATCCTAATGTTACATTTTAGTTTTGGAGCTCAAAAACAAAAACAAACAAACAAAAATTATCACTCAAACATTACCTTTCCACTGGCCTGTACAGAAATGGGAGTGTCATCAGAAGTACTTATGATCAGGAGGGATGCACAGCCCCACTCCTTGCTTAACTGTTGGTAGACTGTTGGGGAGGAGCAATGGAAACGCCAATGGACAGTTTATAACCCTCAGTCATACCGACTGCTTTGGTTAAACTCAGTGCATCACAAAACACCACAACAAGAATGTGAGAAGGGGACTTGTAGAGAAGGGTGATTGACAGGGGTTGAGAGAGCTGAGAGGCTAGGGGTAAGAATAACCACAGTACATTATATACATGTGTGAATCAGCAAAGAACACATACAATAAACATTAGAATAGACAAACACTTGAAAATATGTATTTAAAAAAGCAAACTTGCCTTTATGACACAAATTGAGAGGCAATATGAAGGCTTACTGAAAAGCTACCAAACCACAACAAAGCCCCCTAGAATTCCTAAAATAAACATTGATATCATATATACCTCTAGACAATTTTCCAAGGTCAAAATTTTTAAAGTAAGTAATAAACACACACGGCTTTTCTGGAAGAACAAGAATGGAAATAATTTAATGACTACAGTATATATGGGAACATGTGAAGGTACTATAATATTCTTTCCTGCCATTCCAGCATTAAAACATATGTGTTTTTAAGATAAAGCTCTTCGAGGGCACATACTACTATCTTAGAAGGCTAAAAAGAGACAGTAGGTTATGATACACAACCATGGGGTGCCATACCTTCCACCGATTTCCACATTCATTACATACGACAAATGTTGTCATTGGTTCATCAGCACTACGAGTTTGCACCTGTAGCAAAATTAAATGAAAAAAATACTACTTACACACTAAAAATAATCAAACCTATGTAAGAACATACTTCATAAAGATATACAATAACTCCAGTGATATCACCCTAAGACGTGGAAAAGCATTATACAAGTTCAAATATACTACTGGCAAAGGAGCATATATTTTCAAATATCATTTTTCTCAATCCTTCTGTTTATCTGTCATGTGTAATTTATACAGTTAAGTGGAAAAAGTCTCTAAAAGACACCCTTTAAATTATGCTTTCTACAAATGATTAATAAATATGCAAACCATTAATTAAAATGTTAATGGCCTAAAGATGTTAATAAAATCCAAAGCATCTCTTTATAGCACACATAACTGCCACAATCTCTCTAAAAGCAGGTTAAAAAAGCAGGTTAAATAACCATATCTCTGCCATAGGAACTTGGCATTCTCATCTACTCTGATACATAATTAGAAATACAAAGATCTCAGTAGGGCAGTGGTGGTGCAAGCCTTTAATCCCAGCCCTCAGGACTCAGAGGCAGGCAGATCTGGGAGATTCAGGCCAGCCTGGTCTCAGAGCTAGTTCCAAGACAGCCAGGACTACACAGAGAAATCCTGTCTCAAAAAGCCAAACCAGGTGGGGTGGGGGTGGGGAGAATACAAATCTCTGTATAAGGACATTGAAGAATATCATTATATCATTTAATAATAGCATATATGCTGGAAATGAACACAGAAGAGTAAATGCATCTGATCAAACTAAGATGTTTACAAAAAAAGCTGGGCATGGCACAAAATTCCCAAAGAAAGGAAGCCACCATCTCAAAGACTTACTGTTCACATGGCAGTATAATTCACAATGGTCAATGGCTACCCAGTTTAATGGGAATGGAGTTTCACTTTTGTAAGCAGAAAGGCAAAACAACAAAACACTGCACTGCGACCATGTCTTAAATACCTGCCCCCACCCCCAAATAGAACACTCTGGAAGAACAGGGATGACAGGGTTGAGGAGGTAGCTTAGCCGTGAAAGGGCTTGCCTAGCAGGGACAAAGGCCCAGGTCCAATCCCTAGCACCACCATCTATACCAGGTATGGTGCTTCTTGCCTGGAATACCAGCATGTGGGAGAGGCATGAGGGTCATTAATTCAAGGTCATCTCTAGTTTAAGAGTTTACCCTTAAAAGACAGACATGGTGGGAAATACCTGTAGCCCTAATACATGGGAAATGGAGGCAGGAGGATGACATTTCAAAGCCAGCATCTATTGCAACATCACACCTCATTCTTAAGTTTATTAAGTTACAGAATGAACAGGAATGCCAACAATACTGCATTGTGAACAAGATATACTTAAATTTAGTAGATGATGAAATTCTAATTTAGCATCACTTCAAAAACTGGAAGTTTCTGGTAAATCATTAACATGATTTTAATTCAAAGCCCACGAAATAAACATTCTAAAGGCAGAAGAGCACTGTTCTTGCAGAGGATCTGACATCCTCTTCAGATCTCCAAGGGCACCCAGAAGCACCAAGATATAATACATGACAACATGCAGGCAAAACACAGAATAAATATATCTAAAAGAAGAAGGAGGAAAGGAAACATTCTAAATATAGTAATACAAGACTTTTGGATAAAAATAAATAGTCCTGTAATCTCAGCATTTGGGAGACAAGTGTTCTCTGTGAGTTCAGGTCTACAAAGCAAGTCCCAGGACAGCCAGGGCCAGGGCTATGACATAAACAACCCAGGTCTCGAAAAACACCAACCCCCCCCCCAAAAAAAAACAACAATAACAAACCACCAGAGTCCTTGACCCATTTTCTCAATATGATATGTTCTACACCCCATATCTGACTTTATCCCAACCTCTACCTTGATAAGTTTTGACAAATAACACTGAAACATTAGGCCAAATTCCTATGTTACAAATAAATAAATAAATAAATAAATAATAGATCCCCCAACCCTTGGAAATCCTTGTCTTGCATTTTCTAAAGCTATATAAACCCCACTCATTGTCTCCATCACTGCTATTTTCTCAATCCCTGCTTTAAGAAGATAGCAGAGTTCCTATCCTGTCTAACAGAAAATAAAGGTGTCTTAATTTGGCTAAAAGAATTGGGTAGGGATGTTTACTCTGCTCAGTGAGATGACACCTACACCCACAACCTGAAACATATGACCTTTAAGAGAAAATTTCTAAGGTCAGTAGATGACAGAGATAGAACAACAACAACAAAAAGTCCTATCTGGCAAATGAAAATGAAGAAAATGGTAAAAGTATTTTTATAGACATATACCAAACAGACATTTGTTAACAGTTCTTTATGCTATTAAAAAAACAAAAAAATCATATATGAACGTAAAAGTCATCATGCTTCAAATAGGAACAGGCAACTATTTGTAAGGCAGTTAGGCCTAAAGTACCTACAGGCCATGTGAGAATGGAGAACTTCCCTTAACTATATGGTCCTGCTTACTAGGACACAGTAATAGGCAACTGCTTATGAGCTATTACAAACAGCGGCCATTGTAATGTACCTTGTACATTTACAGTTTTTACAGTAAACATTTTCATGATGAAACAAATATGTCAACTTATATCTTCAATTAGCTGGGATCTACTGAGAAAGCACTTTTTCACCAGAGAGATCACATCTTTTGTGGAATAATATCAGGTCCTGTAATTATCTTTACTCTGAAACAGGTGTGAAACCTTAATGTGCACATGAGACCACAGTCAATCACAAACCTGTGTGTAAGTGCAGTTCTTCTTTTTACATTTGCCACACGTGAACAAGTCAGTCTGGGTCCCACCTGTCTTGGCCATCTGATGCTCTCTGATGGCTTCCTTAGTCAGGTTTTTCCTCATTTCTTTGAGCTCATCACTAGCCATTTCCTATGACAGAAACAGCAGTATCAATGAGTTACAGATACTTTTGACAGCTGCTCTATACATTGGATGCTCTATATACAGATGCTCTATATACATAGCTTAACAATAATCAATAGTAAAAGTAAAACCAGCTTATAAAATTTTAAGTTTGAAACTAATATTTTCCTTCAGAAGATTAAAATAATTTGTTTCCTTTTGAAATCTCTTTAAAGACGTATACATTTTTATGTGAAAATTAGGTATACATACTGTTTAAAATAAACAAACAAAGCAAGCCTATAGTGATCACCTCTGGAATCCACAAAGTGATCTAAATATTATCACCACCCATGCCATCCTCAAAGAAGCCAGGGGCCTTTGGAGGGACATCTGGAGGGGCTTAAATGAAGGTGGGGCTTAAATGAGTTCACCAGACCCAAGATAAATGATAAATAGGTGTTTATTAGGGAAGGACTTATACCCATTGAGAGTAAATATCTGAAGCAGTCTTCCTGCTGTGGAAGATGCAGTCTCTGTTGATGCTCTCCACAACCCAAGAGAGCACAAGCCAGCCCTTCCTCTCCCTTATAATGCCTCAAGTCTGCACCAGATAAATCATGCCTAAGGGTGTGGCCACCACTACAAGTCCACTGGCAAGGCAAGATGTATGGGTCAAATGGGCAGAAGACTAGCACCAAGCAGAGTCTGGTAGTCCAAAATAAGATAGCTTCTTCAGTCACTGAAATAATTATCGCAAGGAAAAACCCCACAAGGGAGATAAATAGCCAAGTCCCTGATAGTACTTAGTAAAGGGAGTGTACATATGAAAGCAAATAGCAGCTAACATTGTGATAATGGATTAACTAAACACAAAGAATTTTAAGTTCATCCTTTCTTATCAAGCCAACCGGGTAACTAACAGCTTGAATTTATATGAAAAACTGCTTCTATAAAAGAATCCTAGCTATAATAACATTTTAGAAATTACAGTGGTTATTCTACTCCAGTAACACATGATCATCAGTGGATGAACTCACTGGATAAAAGATTAATGGAGTACTTTACAATGGAAAAAAAAAATCACTAACATTACCCAAAGCCACTAACAAACCTCAGCATGCCACAAGGAAAGCGACAAGACAGTGTGTGCCTTCTGACAGAATGCACCTGAAGCAAAATCTATCACTTAAGGAAAGGGAAACTTGAGTATAATCAAACTATACAGGAAATCAGGGAAGAAAAAAATTAAGAAATATGATCTAATATAGTATTCACAGAAATTTATAATGCATGGGGCGAAGCAGAGGGGGTGCTGGCAGTACCACACAGTAAAAGAAGGTGGAGGAGAGGAAACATGAGAGGCAAAAGAGACTGCCTTAACACAGGTAGTGGTGGCATAGCTTTAATTTCAGCACTTGGGAGGCAGAGGCTGGCAGATCTCTGTGAGTTTTGAGGCCAACCTGGTCCACAGAGTGAGTTCTAGGACAGCCAAGGGTACACAAAGAAACCCTGACTCAAAACCCCTACACACCCAAAAGAAACTGTGTTAGCTTAAAAACCCAAATCAAAGGTGATGTGTAGACTTCAGCTCCTGGTACACCTAATGTATAATCAGTGCATATTATTAGCATTGCTGACCACGGTGATGGCAATTTAGTTATACAAGGATAATTATTTTAAATATATATTTAAAAATATGTATATGCATATATGTATATAGTGTTGAAAGGATAAAATCTTGGGATTTGTTTGACATAAATTCAATAAAAAAGAAAACAATAGAAAAAAGTATGATTTAAAAAAGGATGACAAGCCAGGCAGTGATGGTACACAACTTTAATCCTACCACTCAAGAAGGCAGAAGCAGGCAGATCTGTGTTCGAGGCTAGCCATGTCTACAAAGGGAGTTCTAGGACAGCCAGGGCTACACAAAGCAACTCTGGGTTAAAAGCCACCCCAGCAACAAAGGGTGACAAATTCTCAAAAGCATGTGGAAGTGGACCTCATGATGGACCCATGGGGTCTGATCACACTGTGTTCTGTACTTTGTGGAGGTTTGAGAGTATTTGTTTTATTGAGACAAAGTTTCTCTGTGTAGTCCTGGCTGTCCTCAAACTCAGAGATCCAGTGACTGCCTCTGACTCCCAAGTGCTGGGATTAAAGGTGTGCTAGTTACAGATATTTTAGTATGGATTAATTAACCACTGTTGGTTAATAAAATAACAGATTGTAGATACAATATAGTGAATGTTACCAGGCCCCTCCAGACAGGGTTTCTCTGTGTAGCTTTGAGCCTGTCCTAAAGTTTGCTCTGTAGACCAGGCTGACCTTGAACTCACAGAGCCTGCCTCTGCCTCCCTAGTGCTGGGATTAAAGGAGTGTGCCATCACCACCCCGCATCTTGAGTGTTTTCTAATATATATAATGTCATAGTTGTTTTTGTAGCCATTTTCACACATGAGATATTTATATACAGACTTGCTTACCTCTGCTGTCATTCTAGCAAACAGGTCAGGAGGAATATTCCCACACAGCACATTTTTCCTTAAATTTGGATTCTTTGCATCTTTAAGATTTGATATCCTACTCCGTACTCTGTTTTTGTATTTCATGTCTGTATTCCTTATTTCTTGATAAATAGGTACTTGACCATTAAGGAAAAAAGATTGTTATAAAGATAACATTTTTTTCTGCCAAATTCATAATTAATCCTTAAATTTTCTAACCAATTCATGAAAATGGTTTCCAATCTAAATAAGACGGTAATTCTTTCAGATTCCTTCATCTGTAATTGGTCAATAGTGCTAATCTTTACAACTACGACTAAGTGATGCTTTTTTCAATGCTTAATGTCAGAAGCATGCATGACATGATTCCAAAGAGTAACTCTGGCACAACCCAAGTTAGCAGATGTTTGAAAAAGAGTTCTAAAATCAAAAGAGCTTTAACTTGCCCAAGTCTGAATCCCACTAAGGACCTCCACATCTATGAGCATGGCCATAGCTCCCTCAGAGGTCTTATGAGTAGAGACCATTAGAAGCAGCACCGGAAGCCCATCTCATCTACCAGCTCAGTGACAAGACCACAGAAGGCCTGGTCAAAGCAGAGACCAAGGCCCAAGGGGACTCACTTTTTACAAAGGCCAGTTCCTCAAAACAGACATCCCCATCGTACACTGCCACGTAGGTACTCCCCATGCAAGACCTCTTGTGGAGTCTTTTCTATGGTGCAAGGCATGGATACATGTCCTGGCAGAAGGAACAGGGACTGAATACTGTGATGAGACCCTCCTCCTGAGTGAGGGTCACCTGTTCCTCCCCATTTTACATAACAAATTCAGATGCTACACTCCCAATATGAAAAGGCAGAAGGACAAAGCTATCATCAATCATATGCTGTTTAGTTTTGTATGAAATGAAAACTAAACATGAATGTCCTTCTCCTTCCTAAAAGTACAGATAAACCTCTGACTTATGTAGCAGAAGGAAAAGGACAATTAACCTCACAGATTACTAGACACAGCTTTGGATGTGAACAAAAAGGATATCTTCTTCAATCTGGGATCCCAGTTCTTCCTCATCAGCTCCAATAGCAACGTAGTCATCTAGAAAAAGAATGAAAAACTCATTGTTGTACAGTGTAAGCAAACCACTCCTATTTCTTCAATCCCATTTGCCTCCTCCACAAAATCTCTGAGTTTGTTAGGACCTGGTATCTTACTGCCCACTATTCCTAAGCTCTGGAATTGATCTAAGATCTGTGCCACACTACTTTTGCCCTGATAACTCCTTTTCCTGAGGAAGTAATTCATATACGAGGCAATTCTTCACTGCATAACACCATCAATTCTGGGTGCTTCAACTGAGAAGAGAAAGAACAGATATTGGGAAGACATGCCTTGCCTCCTGTGACTCAGCTACCACACAGAGAAACTACTCATTTCATCTGCCAATCACATACACAGATGCACTCACAAGACTACCACAGATGCTCAAAAAAGGAGAGAAGGAAGAAATAGAGCTGCCAGATAGAAAAAGGGAAAAAGCAGACAGAGGCAGTAAGGAAATTCAAGTAGAAAGAGCCAAGTAAGAAGCAAAACTGGTCACCCTAGCTATGCATAATTCAGCATAAAAGAAGAGAAAAAGGGTTAATTTGTATAAAATGTCAACCATTCTGTCTTTCAAACTTACTTTCTTAACTTATACACATACATTTTACACATTTTAGGGATGCAATGTGGTGCTGTACTATATATGAGATCTTATTTGTATGTTAAGTCTAAGATTAGTATTTCTTAGTATCAACCCACAGAAGTGTAAACTTTAAATTGTATATTACCTTTAATTATTAATATAAAACTTAAATACTGTATGTCATACTAACACTTAATAATTCATGTTGTTACTGCTTGACTCAAGGTAATGAGTTTTGCAAGTCAAAGATTTATGTGGGAAAAGCTTAAATTAGCATGAATCAGGAGAAGTATTAACACCCTAGAAGGCTCTGCTTCCTACTGCCCTCCAAGAACTGTTATTGGCAACAAAATCCTAAGCTAATCAGTGGGAGCTATCAGCAGGGTGATACCTAACACCAACATGAAGGGGGAGATAGCATGGGAGTGCTAAAGAGCAAACACTAAACTTACCTCCTGTCCGGAGAGCTGCAGCAAGCATCTCTCTGCATTTCAACCGCACAGAATCAGAAGTGCTTGGTGCCCGAGGAAAAGATGAAACGTAAGTGTCTCGAGCGTTTGTCTCATCCTTTCTGCTGCTTACATTGCTGCTGGAACTACTAAAATACATATATGTGGGTAAACAGACCAGAAAACAATCAGGGAAACCTTCCAAATAGCATTATCACTACTCTCTAAAAATAAAAATTGGGGTCTAAATGAGACATAGTATCTCAGTCACTATTACTTTGTTTTGTTTGTTTTCAGACAGGGTTTTTCTGTAGCTTTGGAGCCTGTCCTGGAACTCGCTCTGTAGACCAAACTGGCCTCAAACTCACAGAGGTCTGCCTGCCTCTGCCTCCTGAGTGTTGGGATTAAAGGAATGCACCATAGTGCCCAGCATCACTGTTACATTTTTAAAAGTTTCAATTTAATAGCTAAATCTCATGTCTTAAAAACACAGAAACAACCAGGCGGTAGTGGTACATGCTCTTAATACCAGCACTTGGGAGGCAGGGGCAGGTGGATCTCCAGGTATGAAGCCAGTCTGGTCTACACAGTGAGTTCCAGGACAGACAGGGCTACACAGAGAAACCCTGTCTCAAAAAACCAAATTAAAAACAAAACCAAATACCAAATATATTTTATTTTCCTCTAAACATTAACAGCAAGATTTTTTTTCTTTTTTGAGACAGAGTCTTATTGTTACATAGCCCTGGATAATCTGGAACTATCTATGTAGACCAGGCTGGCCTTAGCTCAGAGGTCTTCCTGTCTCCACCTCACCAGCGCTACGACTAAAGTGAGCAGCATCACAGTCAGCCCTATACTGTATCTAACAGGAAAAAATAATCCATTATAGTTTAGCACAGTACATAGAAATCAAGGGTCTTCTTGGCTTGAGGATAGGCATGAGGGATGGACCAGAAAACAAGGCAATGCAGCCAAACTAGAAAGGGGAAAAAACCGTTTCAAAACCTCCATACTAACTAGTTAAGACGGGCTCTAGTGAAACTTTAAGAACAAGAGCAGGTGTAATAAAGCAAGACTGTAAAAAGATTTCTTCTTAGAAACAGTACCTTAATCTGTATAGTATAATAATTTTCTAGACAACCTCAAAACTTTAAGTACTATCTGATTACCTACTTCTACTGGACATTCACCCCAACAAGTTCTTTTCAAAATGTTTCGGTGTAATCTCAATTATGTGTTGTTATAACATTAATGGTATCTATCACAAATTTTTTCCAAAGATTTATTAAGTTGTCTACCTCCTACTATCTACCATTGAACTAACTTGCTGAATTTGCTGTCAATAATACATCTTCTCCACTTCTCTCCAGGACAAACTACTGTTAAACATCAAAACAGCTCACTATGGACAAGAGTCATCTGTGTTATCTAATTCTAGTCAGTTTTATCAGAGGCCATCTCATATGACCCCTGTATTAGAAAATATTGTCTATACAGAGGTTTGTACATATCACACTCTCCCCTACAAGACCAAGTTTTCCAAAAACAAGAACTAGGATTTCATCCTGTGTGTATTTTCAATTGTAGCAGGGCACCTGTAAGTAGTAAATGAAAAAAAAAAAAAAAAATGCTCGTTTTTGAGACAGAATTTTATGTAGCCCAGGTTAGCTTTGAATTCTCAATGAAGCCAAAAATGACCTTCAATTTCTGATCTTTCTGTTTCTACCTCCCCAGTACGGGTATTACAGATGTGTGCCACTATGTCCCATTCTTAATAAGTTTGAACAAGATTGCTAGGACGAGCAGTCATAGATAGTGATAGTGAAGGTACTGATTAGGGATTCAAATAGCCCTTGAACTCATTTTCATTTGCCTTTTGAAGACTTTTCCTCCTAAATTTAGCCATTTAGAAGAAAATTATTTTTTAGTATTATTTTTATTAGTACTTAAAATTTAGGTAGAATATTATCTGCTAAAGTCTGGCATCTATCTAGAACAGGACACAGGAGGAAACAGGATTATCAAGACTAGTCCGATATATAATATAAAGGAAGTTGTAAGTCAGATCTGAGTGGCTTGAGGTTGAGCAAGGGTTTACATTTTGGTGCAAGAATTTGAAAATTTTTTTTCCAACCCTAGGCATCACATTTTAAGAGATAGGGTTGGTAACAGTGAAGCTAGGCTCCATCAGACCACATAGGCAAGTTGCAGTGCTTTGACTAAGTGTTGGCCCTAGGCAAAGCAGCAAAAGCCTTTAAAGTATTTAAGAAGTTTTGTTTTGTTTGTGAACATTGGTGGGGAGCTGGAGATGTAGTCCAGTGCTTGCTGAGCATACGCAAAGCCTGGATTCAATGACTAGACAGTGGAAAGAGGGGGTGCAGGCACAATCAGAGACCAGAGCAAAATGATGGAGCAGCAAAACTATCTAGTTATCCTCGCTGCTTGTGTGTCTTTGTTGACTTGACAAAAGCTAGAATTGTCTGGCAAGAGCAACCTCACCTGAGAAAATGGCTCTACCCATAGAACAGTGTGTGGGCATATTTTGATTTATATATGACATTGAAAGGTCCAGTTCATTGGGAGTGATGTCACTATTGATGTCCTGGGTTGTACAAGACAGCAGGAAGCTACAGGAAGCATCATTTATTCCTCGATGGCTTCTGCTTCAGCTCCTGCTTTGGCTTCCCTCAATGAGCTGTGTCCTGGGTAATGTATGCCTTTTGATCACAGATTTTTTTTTTAAAAGTCGGGATTTCTTTGTAGTAGCCTTGGCCACCCTGAAGCTCACTCTGCCTGTCTCTGCCTCCGTACTAGAAACCCTAACATAGCAACCTTAGCAGAAATTAATTTATATAAAGTAAACTACCTTTCTTCTCTTGCTTCAGGGCTATTCTGTGATGAAATTGTAGGTTCTTTTTTCTTTTCTTCAGGGTCTTTATCAGTTGATGGACCATCTGAAAAATTTATCATATTCCTAAACAGTCTACTTTTGTTAAAAATGCAAACAATTACATTATTGTACATTATTAATAGCTTATCCACCTCAAAAACAAATAAATGAAAATAAAAACTCAAACCCCAAAGAGGACCCGTTCACCATTAAAAATCTTCAATTCCACAACTGTATATAAAGTATAAGCAAACTATTATGTTAGCATATGTACTGGGGTATTTTTCATAACAGCTGTACAATCAACACTCCTAAATTGTCACTTGGAAAGAAATAGACATTCACATGCCAATGGCACCTGCAAGTTTAAAAGGAAAAAATAAAAAGGAAAGAGTATGGATGAATATATACACAGACATCCTGAAAATGAGTGCCCAAGCACAGAGAACAACAGTATTTGAGTGATCTTTTTCAAGAAAGTTAAAAACTTTAAAATACTACCTAAAGCAGTTAAGTTTTCTGCAAGAATAAATGAAGAGCATCTTCATAGAGACCATTCCAGCATCAGGATGGTCCATCTAGCACCTTCTTTTACTCAATGATCTATGAACAGAGCAGAGTCTGTACCCTTTAAGACTTAGAGCAGTAGTTCTCAATCTGGGAGTCATATCTTAGATATCCCGCATAACAGACACTGACATGATTCATAACAGTAGCGATTTACAATTATGAAGTAGCCACAAAATAATGTTATGGTTGGGGTCACCACAACATGAGGAAGTGTATTAAAGGGCTGTAGCATTAGGGTGGTTGAGAACCACTGACTTACAGGAAAGTGGCCAGACACTGGAAACAGATGTAACATGAGTTAATGCAATCATTGCACTGACAAGAAGCAATCATCTTAAGCCAGTCACAACTGTCCCTGAGCTAGGTTTAGAAAACATTTAGGTCAACTGTAGAAATTATTTCACTTATCTATACTTTGTTCTCTGGGGTATCTCACATTCTGTATAAAACCCTGTAAATACATATGAATGGTAATAGATTGCATCTCACCATTTAGAATAAGAATCCACAAAAGACAATGTTTTCTAACAGTTTAAAGATGATTTAAAGATTAAAGAAATAAAAATTTGTAACCATAAATATAGAGTGGGTTAGGGAAAAATTATGATACTAAATTGGAGGAGGGGATCTGAAAAAAATGTAAGATAGTTTCAGAGTCTTAAAATGTCTATCATAGACTGTTACAAGAAGGACAATAAAGTATACATTTTGACTTGGGTATGAGACGTAAGAATCTAATACATTTACTGAATATTCCAAATGTGGATATAAAACACGATCTAAACATGAGAAAACAGACAAAACAGAATAAGGGAACATACCACAAGAAACAAGGCAAGTCTTAAACCTAGGACAAATGGCTGAGGTGCCTATTTAACATATTGTGATAGATAGATATAACTGGCCCCCATAAGCACATAGGGAGTGGCACTATTAGGAGATGTGGCTTTGGTGGAGGAAGTGTGTCACTGTGGAAGAGGGCTTTGCGATCTCACATATGCTTAAGCCACACCTAGTATCTCAGACCACTTCCTGTTGCCTACAGGATCAGGATTTAGCTCCTTCTCTGGCACATACAACATATGTGCCTTTATGCTGCCATGTCCTGCCATGATAATGGACTAAGCCTATGAAAATGTAATCTACCTTCAATTAAATGGTTTTCCTTTTGTAAGAACTGCCATGGACATGGTGTCTCTTCACAGAAACACTAAGACATTATCAAAGTGGACTTGGTCATGGGGATCCCTCTGCACCCCACAGTTCCTTCAAAACTGTTACAGGGCCCTCCTGATTGGTATACCCCATTCCCTACGCTAAGTTCTCCAGCCCAGAGGCTCCTCCCTATATAACCCAGTCACTTTGGCTACTCCTCCTCCTTTACACTGTTTTCCTCTCTCCTCTCCCCTACTCCCTCTTCACACATGGCTTAGGGTTATGACCACTCTGGACTCTCCCAGATTTCTTTGCCTCTAGCTATGTCTCCTGTTTAACTACAATAAACTATCTCCTCCAACATACCTAGGAATAGCCACATCCTCCTTTTTATTTCCTTTTTTTCATTCATCTGGTGCCAAAACCCAGGCGTGGCATGAAGCAGTTTCTTCCCAAGGAACTCAGCTGCTCTGTAGCAAGCTGCTGGTCCGAGTCCCCTAAGATATGCACAGACCATTTGTTTCTTCTGGCTTCTACCACCCACAAAATTTGATTCCAAGTTCTAGAGTCCAATTTTCCAGATGCTGTTTCTCTCTGTCTACTTTCTCTGAGCTCTGGCCTGCTACGTCCTTCATGTTTCTCTGGTTCTTGTAGCCTCTCTCACACCTTTTGCCTGCATGCCTGACCTCTTAGTACTTGAGAGGTAGAGACAGGAGGATCAGGAGTTTAAAGTCATCCTTGACTACACTAAGTTCAGGGTTAGCCTGGATTACATGATCGCATAACTAACTAACTAACTAACTAACTAACTAACTAACTAACTAAGTAAATGTCAAAACAGAACAAGAGAAGGTTATTATACTCTCTAAAATGCCATCATTGATGAAAAGTTGAAGGCTTAAAGAATTGTTCAGATTACAAAACTAAACATAATTCTGGACTATATATTAGAGGAGGTAAATTAAGACACTATAATGCTTCTCTGTTGCTGTAATAGCATACTGACCAAAAGCAAGTTGGGTAGGAAAGGATTTATCTGGCTTACCATATATCACTGAAGGAAGCCAAGGCAGGAACACAAGCATGGCAGGAAACAAGAGCCATGAAATGAAGCAGAGACTATGGAGGAATGCTACTTACTGGTTTGGTCCCCAAGGCTCTTTGATTTCTTTTATAACCCAGGATCACCTGTCCAGTGGTATCACCAACAACAGAAGGTCAGACCTTCCCACATTAATTATTAATCAAGAAAATATCCCACACACTGGCACACAGGTCAATCTTTGGTGGTGTTTTCTCAATTGAGGTTCTCTGTTCTTAGATAATCCCAGCTTGTATCAAAAACTAACAAACTATAGAGCATGGACTATAAGTTAACGTATTATGCCAATGCTTGCTTCCCTTTATTACAACTGCATGAGAAAACATGCTTGTGTTGAGAATGCCAGCACATGCCTATAATTTTAGCTTCTCTGGAGACTGAAGCAGGGTCCCAAGTCTCAGGCTAGCTTACACAACACAGCAGGAGCCTATCTCAAATGAATGAAGGAAACTAAGACAGAAAGGAAAGGAAACGTTTTGAGGACAGGTATACTTAAGTATCTGAAATAAAAATGACATATTCAACCTATTCTCGAATGATTTTTTTAAAAGGAGATGATTGAATATGGAAAATAACATTGGGTGGTGGTAGCACACGCCTCTAATCCCAGCACTGGAGAGGCAGAGGCAGGTGGATTTCCAGGTTTGAGGCCAGCCTGGTCTATGGGGTGAGTTCCAGGACAGTCAGGGCTACACAGAGAAATCCTGTCTTGAAAGACCAAAAAGGAAAAAGAAAAAGAAAGAAGAGAAAAAGGTGGAAAATAGCAAAAAGCTGATCTGGACAATGGTATATTATGGGCTTTTAGCCTTACTGAAAGTAAAAAGTTATTTTAAAAGAACTTCAGGGGGGGGGGGAAATCACTTCAGAAAGCTTAAGAAGGTATGCACAAGCTTTCCTTCCCTTGGAGAAAAGCCCTGAAGAACTTATCTACAATTACAACTGCCAGGCACCACTAAGTTTATGAGGCTACAACTTTTAAGCAAATTAAACCAGGCCCCTCTCATCCTTATTACAAAGCACTGATCTCATTAGGTCAAGATTCATAGTCAAAAAAATACAGCAACCTTTTGAATAAGCCAGGACATCATAAGTATATGCAAGCAAAGATTAATTTTACCTAATAGTTTTTTCCAGGATTTGATGAGTGATTTGGCTAGAGATGTGACTTCATCATCTGTACTCTGCTTGCGAATAGCGTTGACAGACATTCCGATTCTCGTGGACTGCAAGGCAACAGCAAAGTGTCATCAAAGCTGTTTCAATCACACTTGCTTCTTTTTAGACTTTTCTTTCTAGTTCAGATTTTAAAACTTTATTCCCATTCTGGTCAAAGTATACATTGCAAACTTAAAGTACATGTATCTTTAGATCAAACATGGAACTCACCAATGCTTTATCACTAAGACAACAACTTTGTAATGTGGTATCATGGAGAGAGGATGAGATGTAAAGCGTACATGTACAGAAGGTAAGCTGAGATACTAATGGCCAACAGCTGCATAATCTCTCCTGTAGAGATTACCCCCAAGCACTGTCTGCAACTCACAACAAAGCCAACCAAACAAAAACTACCACCTAGAGAAGATTAAAAGGCATCTTTATTTTTTGATTCTATATAAGCAGCACATAACTAGGTATTAAAATGGATTTTAGAATACATGCAGTAATATTATACTAGAATAACTAGGTATATAAATCTTCCCAAGAACCTTTCAACACTGAGATCATTATACCTATTTTTAAAGACAAAGAGACTGGAAATACCAATATAACCTGCTCAGCATTATACCATTGCTCACTGGCAAGACCAGAATTTTCAGCTGTGCTTGACCACTTCTAGAATGAATGCTATTTCCAACTCACTAAAAACCATAAAAGATATGACAGCTCAATTATGAGCATAAATAACAATGGTAAATTATTCAGTATGTTCAAGTTGTTAGTAGACAATCTTTCAAAACATGGTCTATGGAAGAAAAACACAAAAGAAATTCTTAGTTGCTTGAAAAATAAAGGAAAATCCCTGCTGACACCTTTGAAGTACAACAGTCAGTAGGTACTCAAAGGCTTCCTTGTAAATTATTAAACGTTCAGCATAAAAACTGAAGAGATAAGTGGGCTGCAGTAGCCTGTGTTAGTCTCTCAGAAATCTAAGCAAAGCAGGCAAGGTTCAACAGCAGAAGAATGAAAAGAGCCCCCAAATTTAACACCTATCCCCAATATTTAGGGTTAACAAAGCAAGTTTTCTAAACAAAAGCTAACTTTAGATGCATGGAGGAAATAACTTGAGTTATCGAGCTGATAGAAGTGTGTCCTGACAACAACAGTGTTGGAGATTGCACCCTAGAAGGTCCTGCAGGAGACCACAGTATAAGGAGAACAAACTGCGCTGTTGGATGATGGCTGTTCAATGATCACAGGATGCTTTCGTTATTAAAACCAACCATTCCTTGCTTGGCACCTAGTCTACGAATGCAGCTGTCAACAATAAACATGCTTCCTTAAAGAGACTTGTAGAGCTGCATAACAAGAAAGATGGAGTGACAAAAAGGCTTGGGAAAATGGAAGAAAGCAAAGAATGGAGACAAATAGGAAGCTATTTACTTAGGCAACTAGGTTTGTATTTCTCTCAAAAGACTTAAAACTGGTATGCTAAGATTTAGATGCTATAAACAGGCTGCGTAAAAAGTGGCCTGTGACACTGTAGCAATTATCTATCTTCTACCAAGTTTGCAATTTAAAGTCAGGCATGCAGGAGAAAAGACAGGGAGGAAAGAAGGGAGGACTAAGGTGAAGAGAGACAGTGAGCACACTCAGGAACTGGACTTCACCTAGATCAAGTGGCTCCAAATCAGCTTGTTTGTTTCAGGTTCTGGGGACAGAACCCAAAGTCTTGAATGTGCTAGGCAAATGAGACATTTCTAGTTCAGTAATTAAAATTTTTTTCAAATAATTTTTTGCTTATGTTTTTCCCTTCTCCTGCAACTCCTCCCAGAAGTTCTCTACTTCCCTACCCACCTAACTTTATGTTCTCTCTCTTTAAAACAACCAAAAAAACAAAACAAAACCAAAAACATGCACAAAATCCAACGTGAAAATCAAGACAAATAGGCAAAAGACTAACAAGACCAAAAATGATAAACCAAATGAAATGAAAAGTCCACAAAGACACCAGAGATCATTTTCTGTTGGCCAACTACTTTTAGACATAGGGCTTGCTCTGGAGTGTGGTTGACTTACTCAAGTTACACTCCATTGGGAGGGGGGACGGAGGAGGGATGGCTCTCCCTTTCCCTCCAGATACCAACTGCAGATAAATTCTTGGTTAAAGGTGGAAGACTATGTCCACTTCCCTTTCTCTGTGCTGGGACCCCACTCACGGGCCTGTGCATGCTGCTAGTCTCTGTGCATTAACATGCACATCAGTTCTGGTGTCTGGAAGACACTGTTTCCTTAGAGTCATCATCACCTGTGGTTCTAACAATTTTTTTCATTTCCTTTCCCAAGTCTTGAGAAGGGTTTGATGAAGACAACTGGTTCAGGACTCAGTACTCCAAAGAATCTCATTCTCTACATATTGTCCAGTTGTGGGTCTCTGTGTTAACTAGCATCTATTAAAAAAGAATCTTCTCTGATGTGGGTGAGTCATGTGAGGAACACATATAAAAGAAAACATGCAATACTTATCTTTTGGGATCTAGGATCCCAAAATCCCAGGATGACTTTTTTCTAGACCAATACAATTACTGACAAGTTTCATATTTCTTACCAGCTGAGTAATACTTCATATGTAACTATAACACATTTTATTACCCACTCAATAAGCAAGTATCTCTATAGTAAGATATAACCATAATCCTTTGGGTATATGCCCAAAAGTGGTATCACTAGATCTTAAGATAATTCTATTCCTAGCTTCCTGAGGAACCCTCACACTGATATCCACCGTGGCTGTAGCAGTCTACACTCCCACCAGCAATGGATAAAAGTAAGCATTCCTCTTTCCCTTCATAGTATCCAGCATGAGCTATCTTTTTCCCACCCCATAATTAATCTTGACCATTCTGACTGGATATGAGATAATTAATTAATTATTAATTTCCATTTCCCTGATGGCTAAAGATGTTGAACACTTTCTGTTTCTTAGGCATTTGTGTTTCATCTTTTGAGAACTCTGTTTAGCTCTATACCCCATTTAAAATTAGGTTTTATGTTAACTTTTTTTTTAGTTTGCCATATACACTAGATATTAGCCATCTGTCAAATATTTTTCCATTCTGTAGGCTGATCCTTTGTCCAAATTACGCTGTCCTTATTATACAGCTTTTCATGAGGTCTTGTTTACTGAATGTTTGTCGTAATGTCTACGTTATTGGTGTTCTATTCAGAAAGTCCTTTCTGTGCCAATGTTTTCCAAGAATATTCCCCATTTTCTCTTCTATTAGAGCAAATTCAGCAAGTCATAAAGAACACCCAATGAGCAGCATTTTTCCATCATCTCTGCCTTGAGTTCTTGTCCTGGCTTCGTCCATGATGGACTGTGGTCAAGAACTGAAAGCTGAAGTAAATCCTTTCTTCCCTAAGCTGTTTTAAGTCACAGTGTTTGTCAGAGCAGGCAAGTAGTTTCCAGTACATTCAAAGCACTTTCCTATCTTTAACCATAATGAATTTCTGCACATTTCTGTTACTCTAACCCCCGCCAAAAATAACCCAAAAAACCTTGCCTACATTTTAACAGTCATTCTTCATGTCCTCCTGTATGGTCCTTCCATGTACACTATACAACCAATACTTTATGTGTTAGTATATTTGTCTGTTTTAGAGAGTTCTTATAAATGACAATCGTATAATATATGACTTAATATGTCTGGATTCTTTCAACATATTTTCAAGATTTGTCCCTATTGTAAAATACGTCAAAACTTTATTATTTTTTATAGGCATATAAAATCCCATTATTAAACATATATACACATATATACATACATACATACATACCACATATATAAATACCAGTATGTAAACAGCACATTTATCTGCTCACTAGTTAATGGATATTTGGGCTTTCTTCTGGACTGTTAGGAATAATGTTCTATACATGCTAATTCACAGATTTGTGTGAATATATGTTTTTTTTTGTTGCTCTTGGATACATACCTAGGAATAGAATTGATACATCATGTATTAACTCTGTTTAAAATACATTCTTAACAGCAGTAAGTAGAGGCTCCAATTTCTCTATATCTTTACTAGCAGGTGCTAGGATCTTTGGCTATATGCATTTTGGGGAGTACGGAGTAATGACTTAAATGTCCTGTGGTTTTCCACATGGCTAAGGATCCTGTGATGCTGAGTATCTTCTCATGTGCTAGCTGGCTTTCCCTTCCTTGTTTTCCTTTGAGTCAGGGTCATCCGTCTGTACCCCAGGCTGGACTTAACTGAGAAACTCTTCTGGTACCACCTCCTGCATGTTGGGATTACAGTGTCTTTTCTCCATTTTATTTGGAGAAATGCCTTTCTTTGCCATTTTTAATCTGGTTTGATTCTTTCTTACTGATTTATAGTAGCTCTTAATATAATCCTTATTAGGTAAGATTTGAAAATATAATTTTTTCCCAGGCATTGAATACAGAATTTTATACATAACCGGGTAAGTATCTACCACTCTACCAATGAGCCATGCTCTGGCCTCCTTTTTATTTACTCTGTGTGTGTGTGTGTGTGTGTGTGTGTGTGTGTGTGTGTGTGTGTGTGTGTGAGAGAGAGAGAGAGAGAGAGAGAGAGAGAGAGAGAGAAGACACATTATCCTAAGCTAGCTTTGAAATGTAGGCAGTCCTGTCTCAGCCCTGTGTTATAGGCTTTGAGTAAGATTTTAATTTACTGACATTCACAAACCCAGCCATAATAAAACTTCAAGTATCTATTATATAATTGGACTGAAGAGGGAAAAAAATTAGACTATATACTTTTATAACTCTATACATCTCTTAATTACATGCTGGGGTCACTAAGATTGTTTTCAATGTATTCTCCCCACACGAGTCTACTACTTACTCTCTGCAAGGAAGGGTTACACTTAGGTGGGAAGTAAGGTAATAACCAAAAGGAAATGGCTGCTGACGCTAGAACCCAGAAATTCAACTTCATGGCTAGCTTCCTCTTTCTTGAATCTGCATATAAAGTTTTTTTTATTTGGTTTTGTTTTCCACTACAGATCGTTTTAGCTATTTGGTGAAACTTACAGACATCTTCTTCAGAAGTGCTTTAAAGCACATTAAATAAAACACACAAGACTGCAAAGAAAAGGAACTACAGTAAGTACAGTAATATACTCGCTTCCTTATTAAGACAGCGTAAGGAACATAAGCATCCATCAGGATGAGCAAATGGACTTTAATACATCAGTATAAGTTAACAGAAATGAAAATACTTGTCATTTCTTTTACAGTCATACATAACTGTAGTTTGATCATCTTTATAATGAGAAATATGCTGTTTCAGTTAGACATTCCTGAACATAGGTATTCCAGTGAATTTCACTCACCTTTCTAATTCTTTCTTGAATTCTGACTTATCAAACAGAAACATCAAGGAAGAATGCTCATGAACAAGGTATGTCTATTGGGAAAGGCTATATTCATGTTATTGACCATACTTTCCTCCTGGCTCTCCTGGAACTCAAAGATCTACCTGCCTCTGTCTCCCGAGTGTGGGATTAACTAACGGCATGAGCCACCACCGCCAAGCCTTACTTTTAACATTTTGACTTACTTTTTCTATGTCAGATTGAATGGCTGAGGCTGAAACAGGAAGAAGAGTGTTGAACCTGTTATCCCTACAATAAGCTACAGTGAAATGCAGAAAGACCAAACCAGGGCCAGGAATCCAGGGGCACCCTGACAGTGAGATCTCATGACCCCATAACCTTGGAAAGTTCTTTGAGAAACACATATAATTTATGTCAATTGGATGATTCATGTTGTCACTTTAAAAAAAGAATGATCTACAAAAGAACAGTTAAAAGCATGTTATTGATAATGAAGACGATCCATTATTTTATGGCAACTACCAATTTAAAAAGTGTGACACATAGAAGCACATACCTGTAACAATTCCAGAGTCATGGGAATATTCTTAAGCTCTTTCAGCAAATCCAATGCGCCAGCCTAGAAAATAAAACAGATTCATATTGAATTCCCATGGCAGTAAAGTAAGCACTAGCCAATTAACAACTTACAATGGCTCATCTGCTCACATGAGTACAAAGATACATGTATGCATATACATACATACATCATCTTACAGTGGAGATTAAAACATCAGAGGTTCACAACATCTGCTTTCTGAGTTACAGCTGTGAAGTCATTTTGAATTGTATTTCCAACAGCATTTGTTCAAATATGTCCTCCAAGAAGAAATGTTAACTTGCATGGAAAATATCTACATGAGGGAAAAGCCAGACTGAGAAACTGGGAGGCCCAACAGCTATAGACCCTCTAGTTCTTACCCGTGCACAGAGCCAGAAGGAAAGGCATTGCATTATGAGAATTTGTATGAGGTCTCTGCATTTCAATGTCCATATCTAACAATCTGCCTGTCATAAGAACACTGCCATCTACCTGGTTCTTACAGAATTGTAAAGAGCAATTCCTGAAAGAAAATGTAGAATTTACATATATGTTATGCTCCTAAGACTATCTGGTGCCAATCACTACCTGGAGTCAAAAGTCTATACGACGCTAAAGATGCAACAAACCCCTGTGGGTGAGAGGTGCGCAGGAAACACTAGCTCTGGCATTAAAGAGGGACAGAGGGCAATGGTGCCACCTATGGCTTTTGGCCAACTACTACCCCACACACAACTTTGTTTGTTTGTTTAGGGGTTTATTAAGTAGCTTCATATGGTTTGAAATTCCCTATGTAAATCAGATTGGCCTCAAGTTCAAGGGATCCTCCTGCCTCTGCAGAGATTAAACGCATGTGCCACCATGCTGGGCACACTGGTAGTCATTTAATTTCATTTCTCCTAAAGCAGTCACGTAATCATTTCATTAATCCTCTACATTTCAATAGCACATGCACACATGCACATACATACTCACGCACACACGCAAACACACGTGAACACACACACGCACAAGCGCACACAAACACGCGCACGCACACACAGACACACACAGGTGTGTGCACACACACAAAGGAAAGTTTGTTTCTCCAAGTGTGTGGATTGCCTGTGTGTGTTGCAGCACTGAGAGGTCCGAAGTCAGGTACCCTCCCCTGGTTCCTCCCCACTTACATATTCAGGTTCAGCCTGCTCCAGTGACCGCCTTCCCCTTCTGTACTGGGATCACAAGGCAGCTGGTAAACCCATCTGCAGTCTTTCATGTGGGTTCTTAGAAAAAGAACTCCATTCCCTGTGCTTTATCCACTGCTCAAAACCAACCAAACAAACACAAGTTATGGGACATTTTCTTTTAACTCCATTTTCTTCTGCTTATTGAAAAAAGTCCTTTTAGCTAGTATAGTAGTGTACACCTTTATTCTCAGCACTCAGGATGCTATGGCAAATGGATCTCTAAGAGCTGGAGGTCAGCTTGGCCTACACAGAATTTCAGACCAGTTAGGGCTATGCAGTGATATACTGTTACACAACAGCAGCAGCAGCAGCAAAACTGACGAATTCTTTTAGACATGGAATTTTTATTTCTATCATACATTGCTTCTTATATACATAAAATAGAAAATATGAATAAGACAAATCAGCTAAGGTGTTACCAAAGTACTTCATATTCAGAACCAGGCATTTATAAATCACTTTTTGATTCAGATCTGATGTCTGCTTCTACAGAGGGTTGGATATGGCAGCACATAACTTGAAGCACATAACTTGAATCCTAGAACCTGGGAAGCAGATTGGCAGCTCTGTGCAAGTTCCAGACTAGCCAGGATTACATAGTAAGCCCCAGTCTCAAAAAACAAAAACAAAAAAAGTTGTGTCAAGAAGACTAGTAGCAACAGTGATGATGCTGGTAGTGTGGTGACATGTGCCTATAATCCCAGCACTGAGAGACTGAGGAAATAGCATCATACATTTAAGGCCAGCCTGGGCCATACAGGAACAACATCTTGTCTCAAAACAAACAGACATGAACTTAATGAAAGACTCTGTGAAAGAATCTGTAAGAACTAAAGCCAGGCTGGCTTTGCAAATGGAGAACTGTATTTTACCCCTACTCTTTCTGTAACTATTTACTACCTCAGGGTCCAAGGGTATTCCAGTGTATCTCTGATTTTCTTCTAAGCTTATGATATTCAGTCTGCATGCATGCCACAGTGCACTTATAGAAGTCAGAGGACACTTTCAAGAGTTGGTTCATGCTGTTAGGCCATCTCACCAGCCCTCTCTCCACAAGTTTTGACGGTCTGCTGTGAAAGTACACAGTACACTACGAAGAACCAACTCTATATGTAACTCATACTGCCTTCTAAACTCTTGAAACATGAAAACAAGGCACCTTGCAAATCAATTAAAACACAGCATACCTTGGAACAATAAAAATCCCACAAATAAGGCATGCTATAGAAAGGACTTTAATTTTTTAATGAAATTAAAAGTTTAATATTTTTATATGTGCATGGGTATTTTAGCTACATATCATATGTGTCTGAGTACTACATGCATACCCAGTGCCTTTGGAAACTAAGACAGTGTGCTGGATTCCTTAGGACTGGAGTTACAGCCAGTTTTTTATTCACCATCTGGGGTACTGAGAATCAAAAATGGTTCCTCCAAAAGAGCAGCTAGCGCTCTCATATGGATCATCTCTCCAGCCCTTTGTACTGTTATTAAAAATCAAAACAAAAGACTTCCAATCATGATTATTTAAAGTCATCCAACATCAGACCTGACCTTTCAGAATAAAATGGTTATCAACACTTCTTTTGGAAACAACAATATAAACATTTTAACTTAATTACAAACTTGAAAGAAAACACAAGAAAAATAATGAAACAGGTTATTATAAAGGATCTTAACAATTGTGGCTTAAAGATCTCTTTTTTTATGTTAAAATTTTGAATACTTCATATTTAGAGTCAACTAAATACAGTGAAACATTATTAAAGAACAATGGTCTATAGTTCAACATTAATAAAAAATATACCTAACATTCTGGTTTTCATGGGTACCCATGTGCATGTGGTACATATACATACACATATATGTAAAATAAATGAATAAATACATCTTAAAGAATTTCTACAGCACTTTTTTTTTCTCAGCACAAATGAGATTTAATCATTTATGTGCATATATCCCACCTCCCTCCAAATCAAAACTAAAAAGAAATTCATTTGGCAGCAAAGGCTAGTCTCAACAGATATGAAGCTAATGGTTTCTACATACCTCTTTTTTTTTTCTCACTTAAATGGAAAGGGTACTATATTCGCTGTAATTATTAGAGAAGTGTTAATGTCTCATTACAAGGAGCTGCCCAAACCCCTTTTAGGGGTATCACACAATATATGATGTGGTATCATAGTATCTTGTCAATCTGAAAAATTCTGGAGTCCAAAGGTTTTTAATAGATGGTAGATCTATCTGTATTCTCTATTTATGATAGCATTTTTCTTCTAGCTACATCTCCATGGACTTTCTGACCCATTTCAGACTAAAGATCAATAAGAAGTTAAGTCAAACTTATAGGTAGTTCTTAAAAAGCTGCACCTCTTCTAAGACACACGTCATGTCACATGTAAAACTGATTTTTAAAAAACACATCAGTAATACAACACATGATTTAAGTCATTTTCCAAGTAGAGACAACAGATTTACCTTATCTTGACTTTCTGTTTCTACTCAGTCCTCTGGTGAGAACAGGGTTAAGAGACTGAGGCAATGACAGGAAGAAAATGCTAAGTGACAGGGGATGCAGCAAGTATGCTTGTTCTCAACACTACCATGTGTTCCAGCCAGTTAAGATGAGTGTATCACTGGAGGTTCTCTACAAAATACTAAGACAAACTCAACAAAACTAGCAAAAAGCATGATTATATACTCAGTGATAACTTATCTTTGAGAGTTACTGTGTACCAGGAATTGTGTTAAATACTTCAAAAATTTATATATTTTATGTATGAGTGTGTCTGCACATATTTACTTGTATGTTGCCTACAGAGGCCAGAAGAGAAAGTTGATCCTCTGGGACTGGTGTTACAGTTAATTGTAAGCCCCCAATGTGGGTGCTGGGACCCAAAGTCAGGTCCTCTGCAAGAGGAGTAAGTTCTCTGAACAGCTGAGCTATCTCTTCAGTCCTTTGACAGATAGTTCTAATGCTCCATTCTGTGTGAGCACATGGCAGTAAACAAGACAAAAATCCCTTAGAATTTCCAAGAATTGTATTTTATTTTGATGTTGGGAGATTGAACCCAGAGCCTCATACATCTAACCTAATACTCTACTACACCAAGTTGTATACCCAGGGATTAAAGCAAACAAACAAACAAACAAAAAAAAAAAAAAAAAAAAAAAAAAAAAAAAAACCTCTACAGTTTGTGATGGAGTAACTATGCTTTCCATTCCTCTGGCCCATCACGGCAGTTGTGCTTTCTAGCTTACTACCAAACAAAAGCTGCCTTCTATCCCTTCCCAGTCATCTACCTCCTAACATCAAGTCCATTGCAACATCTTCTATAGACAATGATGCAAGAGAAAGAAAGATTTGACTCTAACTTCCAGAGCTACATTTAAGTTCACAGAACTGCAACCATTACACTATTTTATTACATTTTTAGCGCTCTGATCTGTTAACAGAGGTGCTTTTACAAAATACAGTATTCAAATTTGCAGGCAACCTAATTTATATAAAACTACAGGATTCCAGTATCTTCTCCACATGCAAAAAGAGGTACAGGGGACTCAAGAGTTAAGAACATGTGCTATATTTCCTCCTGCCCCAGATTCAAATCCATATTCTTGTCTCCTAACTTTAAGTCCTTCTCAGGCGTCTCACACACTGAAGAGGTAGATGAAATGGTCAAGTACACAGTGAAGTACTAAAACAGAAAACACCCCACACAAGAGCTGGGGAGGCAGGGGTTTAAGGCCCTATATAGATAGATGTTCCTCCAAGACAGACTGCACAGACATCCAGTAAAGTATTCCACTAAAGACTGATTGAAAGGACAAACATCAGCAGGTATTGGAACAATGTGGTGAGGTAGAAATAGTTAAGCACCACTGATGACAATGTAAAATGGTATGAGCCACTTTGTGGGGGGAAAAGAACAAATCACATTGTTTTTGACAGTTTCTCAAATGGTTAAGTAGGTTTGGGGTGTAGCTTAATGATACAGTGTTCGCCTAGGGGCCCAGACCCAGGATTAAAAAGAAAAGTTATGTATAGGCCCAGGATGGTTCAGTTCTACTCCTAGGTATATACCTAACAGAAATGAAAACATATGCCAACACAAACAGACATAGAATGTCTTAACAATAGTTTTATAGCCCAGAGTGGAAACAGCCTAGATGTACATCAAAAGAGGAATCCAAATGTGATATATGCACCAGTACAATAAAATACTATTCTGTAATAGAAAAGAATGAAATATTAACAAGATATGATACAGATTGGACTTTAAGACACATATAGTAAGCTGAGCATACTGGCATGTGTCTAGAGTCCCAGCCAGCTACTCAAGATCCTTAAAAAAAAAAAAAAAGATTTCTTAACTAATCCAGACAACACACTGAGACCCTGTCTCAAACATTACAGTAAGCAAAAGAAGTTAGTTATAAGATGTCACATAAGATTTCATTGATATAAGCCAGGTGTTAGTGGCTCACACCTTTAATCCCAGCACTCAGGAAGCAGAGGCAGGCAGATCTCTGTGAGTTCGAGGCTACAGAGCAAGTTCCAGGACAGGCTCCAAAGCCATACAGAGAAACCGTCTTGAAAAACAAAAACAAAAACAAACAAACAAAAAAAAGATTTCATTGATATTATATAATAATTCCAAGGTTTACATTTCCAAATTCTCCTTTATAGAATGGGAGTAGTAACCTAAAAAAACTATCTGAGTAATAAAAAGAGGTAAGATTGATAATTACCGGATTTAGAGAAATATATGGCTTAGTGTACCAGCTTAATAATTGGTAGCTGTTTTTAATTAAGTGACATCTCTATAGCTTGCTTGCTTTATTTATTTATTTACTTACTTTGGTTTTTTGAGACAGGGCTTGTGGAGCCTGTCCTGGAACTAACTCTGTAGACCAGGCTGGTCTTGAACTCACAGAGATCTGCCTGCCTCTGCCACCTCAGGGAATAAAAGGAGGTGTGTGCCACTAATGACTGGCATCTATAGCTATATTAAAATGATATAACAAAAAAAAAAAGCAGTACTTAGATTTGTCTATTAGTGACAACTATCATGCCACAAGCAGTTTCTCCATTTTTATGGTCTAAAATAACTTAAAAGTAGCTCATATTACATCATGCCTGGAATCTTATTTATGAGGAGACTGAATCAGGAGAATCACATAAGCCCAGGAGTTCCAGCTCAGCTTGGGCTACATAGCAAGACTCCATCTTTAAAACAAAACAAACATTTAAAAAAAGGGAGGGCATGTTTATGGCCCAGGACTTTAATCCCAGCACTCAGGAGGCAGAGGCAGGCAATCTCGAGTTTAAGGCCAGCCTGATCTACATAGTAAGGTACCGAGGTCAGCCAGCCTACATTATGACACCCTGTCTCAAAAAAGGGGGGAGGGGGCAAAGAAATGGATCAAATAAAGGCACTTGATGTCACGGTTTAGTAAGTTAAGTGCCAGGCACACACCTTTAATCCCAGCACCCAGAAGGCAGAGAGATCTCTGAGTTTGAGGCCAGCCTGTTCTACAGAGTGAGTTCTAGAACAGCCAGGGCTACAGAGAAACCCTCAAGTTGTCCTCTAATGTATGCACGTGTGTACACACACATACATAAATGTTGATGTTTTTAAATTTTAGAATTCATGGAGAGTTGTCATTCTAACCTTTCTTTCATCAGCTTGCTTAACTTCAGAGGACAGGAAAATGAAAGAAAAAGTAAAGAAAAGAAACAGCTTTATCTTTCTTTCTTATGGCAAATTTTCATAATGGTTAAGATTATGTGAACACTATCAGAAAAGAGACTGGAGAATTACTTGAAGTTTGTGCTAATGGATCAGGGAAAAAGAAATTACCCAGTTAACAACTTTTTCACCCTGAGAGCTTCCAGTGTGACAAAGTGAGGGCCTCCAGGCAGAGAGGTTTCCCAATTTAATCCAAAAACCAAAAATGTTCAATGTATCATATAACCAAAACTCATCTCTTGCAGCAAGGAATGAGATGGCTAATATCTAGAACAGAAAACAAACAGGAAATATTTGAGAAGACCAAAATTGCAAATGCAGATTAACAGGGCATGAAATTAAATGCTGGGCAACGCACCTGTTGAAGAAAAAGAGGAACAGAGGAACTGAAGTCTTAGTTATTTGGTATTAACACGAATTCCTAAGCTGGCAGCAAGAGGATAATCAGCCAGCTCCTGGCTCAACCAAAACTACTTAAGCGCTTAAGAAGTACTTTGACTCGGTCTCTTGACTTGCAAAATGGGCACACCATGCACTCACAACTGTGTCCTAGTCACAAAAGAATTCTGCAGAGGTTTGTAACTCTAAAGCCCTGCACAAATGTAAGCATCCCTTTACGGCTTTAATTTCCTAAATGGGAACAAACTGTTTCTATTAATTCGATCGTGCAAATGTGCTCGGTACGGAAGAACTCATTCAGGTGAAGCTGGCCGAGGACAGCTAAGTGCGCAGCAAAGGGATGGAGAGTGGGGACACAGAGGTGGACTCATAAACACAGACGAGGTCACCGCCCGCCACCACCTCAGCACCATGCCCACCTACCAGCGGCCCGGGGCTGAGTGCGGTTTTCAACCGTGGCTGCCCTGCACATCGCGCCCAGGCCTGCTTGCTAAGAGGCGGCGGGTTTTCTGTTTCCAATTACGATGCGGGTCTGCGGCAGAGCAGACGCTTTACCGCCCGCCTGAAACGGCCCGCGGCACCCAGTAAAAGCGCCCTAAGGAAACCGCGGCGGCCGCCGCACATTCTCCCACCCGGTGAGGGCTCAGACGCTGGGCTCACTGCGGACCCTGCCAGCCCCGACGTTAAAACCGGAGGGCGCGCGGCGCGGCGCGGCCCGGCCCTGACTGGCCCCGCGTGGGCCGGTGTCGCGGTCTCGGCCGCGGCCTGCCCGGGGCCCGCCCGCTCACCGCGTTCTTCTTCTGCACCATCTTGTCCATCTTCTTGGCAATGCGAACCACCTCGTCCTCCATGGCTCCGGAAGGCCTCCGCTCGCCCGGCCGCAGCGGACGGGAAGCGGGAGAAGCGGCGCAGACGCTCGACAAGCCGTGAAGCAGACGACCTAGGCCTTCCTCACCGACCCGGCCCGCGGCGGCGGCGCCAAACGCTCCGCCCCCTAGGCCGTGCCAGTCGAGCGCCGAGCGAGCCACGTAGGCGCTCTCAATCGATCGCGGAGGACTGGGCAGCCGCACGATTCCGTGAGTTGCCCTCCTGACCCGCTTCCGGCCGCAGCAGCCTAGAACTTCTGGTCTCTCCCGTTGCTGCTGGGTTGGGATGGAAGTTGCACGGGTTTGACGCCGGCGGAGCCCAGCCCTTGGCGGTACACAGCTTTGGTTCCCTCGGCACGGCGTCCTTTGGGACGGAGTGGGCGTGGCTGCCCGCTGGGGAGCGCTTGAGCGAGCACTGAGGTCCCGCTCTCCATCTTGGCTGTTGGAACCATCCCACCTGCTGATGCAAACCTACTCAGAAGATGACGGCCTTGAGAATTGTGACTTACCAAAAGCCAAGGTAGAAAACTGGCATGTGTGTATATTGTTTGGAGTTGTTTAAAGTTTTGAATACATCAGGAGCCAATGAACGTCACAGACATTAAGCCTCAAAGTGTCTCCCTTCCAATGGGAGTGGGGGAATTAACCGAAGCTGGGCATGGTGGCACGCGCCTTTAATCCCAACCGTTGGGAGGCAGAGGCAGTCGGATCTCTGGGAGTTCGAGACTAGCTTAGTCTATAAGAGCTAGTTCCAGGACAGACTTCGAAGCTACATATAGAAAGCCTATCTCGAAAAAAAAAGGCAAAAACCAACCAAACAAAAAAAGACTGGAAGCCTGTGGTGAGGCCATGGCACCTGATAATACTGGTTTCATATACTGCTACAAAGAGGTGCTCTTTCGTGTACTTTGATACAGTTGATAAGTATTATTGTGGAAAAGACAGGATTACAATGGGGAAATTTTAGTTGACTGAAATACCTTTTTAGTCAATAAAACTCCATTTCACTGAGGGAGAACAATACATGTTCTGATAGGCTAATCACAAGAGCTGTCACATGACAGGGGAAAAGCTAAAGAAAGCAGAAGTTATGTAAAATAGAAATCAACATTGTGTGTCTTGTGCGAGGATTAAGGAGAGTGAACTTCATTATACTAACTTAAACTGGCATGTTTGGCAACGTTGACTTAAACCCTGGTATGGTCAGATAAACAGTTTTCAGTTTGGCAGCTGAAAACTTTGGGATAAGTGGCTCCATTTTCGTATGTATAGGCTACCATGCAGTTTGGAAGAATCAGCCTCCTGTTTTTTCTCCTTAGTGTTATTAGATTGATAGAATTCAGTCACCTCTTTAACCATCTAGCTTTTTGTTTTGTTTTTCTGATCCAAGTTCATTGTTTCCATCTTCTTAAAGCCAGTCTGGACAATGTGTATGTTTATAGGGATTTCTATTTGTATGGTACTGTGGATTGGACCCACGGCTTCATATCTTCTACCCATAACCCACTTTTCTCACGTAGAGTTGTTCATAGTATTCTAATTATTTCAGTGACAGGTAGTTTTGTCAAATTGACACAAGCTAAAGTCACCCGAGAGGAGGAAAGGATCAATTAAGAAAAAGCCCCCAAAAGATTGGGCTGCAGACAAGCCTATAAGGCATTTTCTTAATTAGTTATTGATGGGAGAAGGCCAAGCCCATTCTTGGGAGATGTCATCTTTGGGAAAGCAGGCTGAGCAAGCCATGAGGAGCTATGAGTAAGCAGCTCCCCTCCATAGCCTCTGCATCAGCTCCTGCATCCAGGTCATGCCCAATTGAGTTCCCGCCCCAGTTCCCCTCAGTGATAGACTGTCACCTGGAAGCTATAAGCTAAAGTCAAACCTTTCCTCTCAAGTTGCTTTGTTCATGGTGGTTCTTCACAGCAATAGTAACCCAAACTTTAAAAAAAAAAAAAAAAAAAGTCTTTATTGTACTTAATCAAAGGCTTTAAAAAAAAAACCAGCCTTTGGTTTTGTTGATTCTGTTCTTCTAACAGCTTAATATCCAAACATTATTTATTCTGCTGTGGTTTTAGAGGCTGACCTGGAACTAGCTGTAGACCAGGTTGGTCTCGAACTCACAGAAATCAGCCTGCCTCTGACTCCCAAGTGCTGGGATTAAAGGCGTGTGCCACCACTGCCAGGCTTTCCAAACTTTGAAATAGCTGCCATTTTATATTCTCATCAGCAATATAGTTTCTCTACATGTAGTAGTTGGCATTATTTCTAGTTTTTAAAAAAAATTCCATTTATCTCTGTGTATGTATGCATATATTCACATGCACAACGACAACTTTTGAGTTCATTTTCTCCTTTCAGTGAAGGATCCAAGAATTGAACTCCAGTCATACTTGGCAGCAAGTGCCTTTACCTACTGAGCCATCTCACTAGCCCCATTATTATTATTATCATTTTTGATGATCTAATGGGTATGTAATAGTCTTACTGTTGTTCTACAGTAATAGTCTACTGAAGTTCTACTTCCAATTCCTTTAAGGTTTGTAATATCAATCACCATTCATATAGCTCATGGTTTCAATAGTTTGCAAGTATTTTCTGGTTTTTTTTGGGGGGGGGAAACAGGGTCTTACTATGTCTGGAACTTGGCATGTAGATCAGCCTGGCCTTGAAATCTCAGAAACCCACCCACCTTACCTCTCTGGGATTAAACGTGTGCTACCCACACCTTGCTTATTTTCTGGGTAGGCTCTTTGAAACAGCCATGTGTTTTTGTTTTGTTTTGTTTTGCATGAGGTGTATGGTTTGGATGGAGTTGCTGTCTACAGTTACCCAGTTGCTCACCCCCGTGCCTCTTTCAGCATAATTTTGTTCCTTTCTGTATGCTTACCCCTGTCACTTTCCTTTCGCAGCATCATTCCGTCTAAGTTCTCTTACCTTTCCACATTAATGTGAGTAACTGTGTCTAACAGTCCCACTGGGATTATAATAGGAATCGCATTAAACTTGAGCACTCATGGGGAAAGAATGAACACATTTACTACACAAAACCTTCCAATTTCTGTTAGTCCATTTCTGATACAATACAGGGTAATATATGAAACAGGAAAGTAAGACAACTCTCTCAGTACCAAAATGAGTTAAATTTCACTATATGAACCCCAGGGGATGCATTCAAACCACATCCTATCCACAGCCTATCTACATTTACTTAGATTTTCATGTCTTCTGTTGTTAATTTGTAGAATCCCTTTTTCCTCCATATCCTATAAACTTATTCATTTGTAACCAATTGCAAATGTTGATTTAATTTTGGTAATGTATAATCTCTAAGATGGTCAACTTTACTAACACACTAAAAGTACCCGGTTTAATAATCAGCGTATACCAAGGCCAGGTGTCCTTTCTCCACTCCTGTTCATTCCTCTCGTCTTTACAGTGCTCCACAGACGTGTGTGTGTGTGTGTGTGTGTGTGTGTGTGTGTGTGTGTGTGTGTGTGTGTGTGTGTTCAAGTTTGTGAGGCCAGTAGAGGATATTGGCTCCCCTGGAATTGGATTCATATGGAATTGTGAGCTGCCTGTCATGGGGTACTAGAGATTGAATTTGGGTCCTCTAAAATAACAAGCACTTGTAACTACGCCATCCAGATACTCACTACTTGCGTATACCCTGAATCAGTTCCAAACTAACACATTACGTGTCATTCTTTTTTGAAAATCTCTGTACCTCAGCTCATTCTATGGTGTGGATTATTTATCTGGTCGGCTTTTGACATTTGAGTCATTTCAGGTATTTTTGCTACTTCTCTGCTAAGATCTTTCATTGGAGTGGCTGATTTCATCGCCTCCCCCAGATCTGAATTTTAATGCTGCTTCTCCTTGCTGTCTTTAATAATAATCTCATATATTATTCCCAGACTCAATCCCAGGTCCTGGGCCGCAATCACTCTCCACTGTTTCATCGCTGGTGCACACTCTTAGAACCTTGTTTGGTGTGAGCGTGCTCACTTCTATGATAGGGCTGCACAGATGGAACTGTAGACAAAGCATTTGTAAATGCCTTACCTCTCCCGCATGCCCCAGTGGCAGCCTGACCCAGGGAAGTTTTTGATATTTATAAGTTTATACATACACACATATAAAAACACATATTGTACTATATATAATATGTATTATATATTATAATATATACATATTATATATATATATATAGTATATATTATAAATTTAAGACCAGAATTCATGTGAAAATAAGCTTCTAGCTAAAAAAATTCAGGAAGATCATTTTTTTCCTTTTAAAATTTAGTGTACAGGTCCAAAGACACACACACAGGCTTCCTTTATTTTTTGTGTTGAAAGCCTGGCCATTTTTCTAGTTCACCTTGTATGCAACCCCTAGAAGGATCATGTTTTTATAGTGGTAGATTATTTCCACATCTTTCCTCATCTGAGCCTCAAGTTAAATGAGCTACAGGAGCTGTTCCATTAATTCTCTTCGGCTCTGGAGAGTTCAGTTTCTGCATGGTGCGATGATTTGCATCATAATCTGACTCAGCATTTTTAAGGTGATTTGTAGGATAGGAAATTTTTTTTTTTTTTAAAATACAATTACCCTACAAGGGCACAGAGTAAAATGGTAATGACAATGGAATCAGGAAGATTGATTTGAATTCTAACAACTCTAGTCCTAGGCACAGCTTACCTCTGCTCTGTTTCCTCTTTCAGTTTTAGGGACTTGTACAAAACTAAAATGTTTTGTGAGTGTGGCAAGAATTGCATTCATTTACTTCCAGAAAGTAACAAGCCCTACCTACTGTAAAAGCAAGCAAAATTCTGTTATTTTGACTACAATTAAGCATGCACTGGATTTTTTTTCATATAGAGCTAACAACAGGCCATTACTCAGCAGACTGTCTAGTGCATATACAAGAATCTTAGCACTGCACCAACTAGGTATGGTGCCCCACGCCTGTAATCCCAGTGTTTTAGAAACTGAGGCAGGAGGGTTACTGTGAGTTCCAGGACAGCCAGGGCTATATTAGAAGACCCTGCCCTGACTGATAAAAGCCATAGGAAATAGGTGGTGCTCCTTTGCAGGGTAAATCTGTAAGAGAAATGTTAGAAATGACAGTATTTTTGTTATACTTTCTCATTGCTGTGATAAAACAGCAACCAAAATCAATCTATCAATCACTGTATCTACCTACCTACCTATATAATTTTTAAAAGCTTACTTTGGTTTACTGTTCTAGAGGGGTGGGTCTATCCAGGTGCCAGGCATGGTCAGCACATGTTTGTAACTCCAGCACTTGGGAAGCAGAGGCAGGCAGATCTCTGAGTTTGAGGCTAACCTGGTCTACATATTGAGTTCCAGAACAGCCAGGGCTTCTCCGTCTCCCTGGGTCCTGGGCAACCTTGCCCTGTTCCTGTGACCAACTCCTCTCTTCCCACCCCTTGGGTTCTCCTCAGCACCTGCCTGTCACTCCGTGCCAGCCCTTTCTTGGGCCTGGGCCTTCTCCTTAGGGAACCTTTCCTGATTTCAGGGCCTCTCTAATCCTCAGGCTCTCTCCCTGCCCTGGAATCGCTCTTCTCTGGGCTACCTTCCCTTGCCCCAGGATCCATCTTTGACAGCTCATCACTGACAGCTGTCAAAGGTTGCATGGGCTGTGTCATGCATGCATTAGATGGCTGCATAAGGATTCTGCGTGCAGAAACCAGCATGTTTGTGTTGTGCATGTGTTAGGTGACTGCATAAGGACCCTGCATGCAGAAACCATGTGGCACTGGAACCGTGCGGAGCTGGGCCAAGGGCAGCCCCATGACTCCAGTTTCAAGGGCCCCAACTGCTGAGACTCATTCTAAATCATTCCCGTTTGTTCCCTATAAGCAAGTGCCTCCTGCCTGTTATTCTCTTATTTTTCCATTTCTGCTCCCCTCCCTTTCCAAATAAACTCCATGTGGGTTTGTTGAATTTGGTAGATCGTGTTTCCTAGCCTGCAGCTGCAGCAAAAGAACAACCCCATCTCAGACAAAAGAGTCCATCTTGGCTAGAAAACATGGCAGCAATCAGTGTGCATGGTGACAAGAGCTGGAAGCTGAAAGAAAGATCCCACCTCAGCCAATAGCAAAAAGTAAGCAAAGTAAACTGGAAGTGGAACAAGGCTTTACCTCAAAGCCTGACTGTAAGCCTCTGAAGCAACACCAGTGGCCCTGTAAGGGCCCTAACTGCTGAACCCTGTCCTCATCCTACAAAGTAAAAAGCCCAGTCTCTGCACATGAAATCCCACCTATCTCCACCCTGGAAATCTCCACCGCCCTCCTGGACTTCCCCACCCCAATTAATCTCTTGTGCATCGAGGCTTGCTGTGCAGTGTCACTATGTGGTAACCCTTGGTTCCCAGCTGCCAGGACACCTTTCCATCTCAACTGCAGTGCGTACATGACCACAGTGACACGCTTCTTTCAGCAAACCTGCCCCTCCATATAACTCTTCACACAGTCCCACCCACTGGGGACAGAGTCTAAGGGGATGGTTCTTCTTCAGACCATCACAAAATCTGTTACCACTACGACTGCCAAAATCAAAAAAAGCAGAATCACAAAAGGGTGAGCTGGTCAACTTCAAGGATTCAAAGACCAAAACCAAAGAGCAGGCTCCTGTACTGGCAAAAATTAGAACTCAGTAATAAAATAAATACATGGAGAAAAAATATTTGGGTAACTGCCATATATACTGATTTAAAATTCCTAGTGATAACTACAGTAAAAGATAAAAACATCCAATAGGTTTCTTAAATAGTTAAGACACTGAAAGTGAATTTTTTAGCAGATTAAAGTTAAGTAAAAATTTTTTCCTTATGGAAGCTAATCATATCTCATCAAATTTTTTCTCCCAATGTATTTTCTCATGGTTCCATTTTTGTATCCCCCTTTTCAACATAGGTAACCATTCCTACACCTGTAATTCCAGCCTTAGGGAGACAAGGAGACCCTGCCTTAAAAAAACAGCACAAAAACATGGAAAAACAAGCATGCCATGGAAGTATATACCTGTATATCAGCACTTGGGAGGCAAAGGCAGGTGGATCTCCATGATGTCCATTAGTTACTTTGCTGTTGTTGTGATACATACAACACCATGACCAAAAGCAACTTAGAAGAGTTTATTTAGGCAAATTCCAGGCCAGCCAGGGCTAGGTAATAAGTAAGACCCTATCTTGAAAGATAAAACAATGCTTCATAAACCAATCCAAGAAAGCCAGAATTAAATTTTATTTCACACTGATAGAAACTGTGAAAAACATGACATATTCCCCACATTATAGCACAAGAATTCAATGGAATAGTTCTTACCACAAATAAAATTTTACTAATGGTATAACTTTTCTTTAAAGTAAAGCAAAATAGTAAATGATTGTTTGAAATTATTTTAAGTCTACACATAAGCATATGGCTTCATTATTAACATCCTATCCAGTCCATACCAAATGATTTACATATCATTTAGCACCCGTTCATAATGATGCTTCTTAGCATAGTCATGGTTAGTTAAACAGCAGGAAAAGCAACAGTTCAGAAATGGCCATAATTTGTGCAATATATTCAACTGTGTGGTACTACACTGTGTGTGTGTGTGTTCTAACCAGTCTTTATTAGCCATTTTAATAATTTTCACCAGTATTTTGGACAGTTGATTTAAGATCAGATGATTGCTATTTTAATGTTTGTATAGGAAGCTAACTCTCAAAAGATGCCTTTACCTAAGATGAAAATTTTAAATTAGTTACCAGATAAAAATAAAAGTTTCTGATTGATCACCTTGAACAGTATTTGGTTTCAAACATATGTAAAGAAAATGTAAACTTCAAGTCTGCTATAAGATATAACTGTTTTAGAAGTTAGACTTCAAAACTGGTCTTAAATAGTTATTTCTGAACATGCCAAGATATTATTCATCCTTTAAGGTTTTTTTTTTTTTTAACAGAGAGATAAAACCCAGAATATTACCAGGACTGAAGATTCTACAGTCTAGAGGGGGATTGAGGTGCAGTTCTTTGAAATATATTAAGATTAAGTAATGTTTGGTTTCTTTTCACATTACCTAGAATTAAAAATTTGTATGTCTGTGATTCAGAATGTCAAATTATAGTATATATTGACAGGATTTTTACGGCAGAGTGGCAATATTCATCTTCTATGAAAAAAATTTAACTTAGTTCTTGAAAGGAGAAAAATTAAGAGAAGAATAGCCTGGTTCCCCAATAAAAGGGCCATTAATTGGAGAGAGCAGTATTACTTTTCTGACACTTAAAAAACAATATCCCTGGTATCAAGGATAATACAATACCATCTAACTCTTATGTATTGCAGTCACGGATATATGAACACGCATATAAAATACAGATACTGCATGGTGACTAAACAGCTGAGAGATAAAACCACAGTCTAACTCACAGCATTTCCAAGTCACTTACAGATAATCTTAACAGCTTGTTTAGACCCGATCAAATTTCAGTGAGCATACCAGTAATTTTCAAACAATGTAATAAAACTCTGGTCATGGTATTTTATTTTGTTGAATTAATTTGAGAGAAAGAAACTAGCTGCTTCACTTAACCAACTTTAATACTAGTATATTCTGGATCGTATAATACATATATATTTATGTATATATATTTTTTATTTATTTTTTTTAAAGAATCATACATTTCCATCAGGGAAATGTCACTGACCATTGGTATGTATTTACAAAACATTTTAACACTGTGAACATCAGAAGTTTTATGATCAGGCATGGAGAAAGGTTTATACTCTACTACAGTGATGCTGGTGAACGTCTACACAAGGCCTCTTGGTTACGTCAATCAATTGGAGGTAGGAGTTTATCAATGAATTGCTTGACATCCATCATTTCCTGTTTGGAAAAAAAAATGATTTAGTGAACAGCTACATAAGTCAGAATTACATTTCCAAGAATGCCAGTAATAAAATCCATGTAGGCGAGGATGTTTTACTACTACAATAAAAAGGCATATAAGAGAAATGAGGCTCCAATAGAAATTCTGTAATATTTCTTAGGGTTATTATTATACACTGAAATAAAAGCTCCCATACTATCTAGTTCAATGAAGTCTGCATTTTCTGACATGCATATAAAACACTGGGGAGTCAGGAAGTTCAGAATGACAATTCCTATACCAAGTTTAGTAAGGTCTACTTACTGCCAATTGAGCATCAGTGAGTTTCCTCCTTAGAATGAAATGATAAATAGCTAATCTCCTTTGTGTGTGTGCGCCTCTCATGACAAATTACATAACAGCCACTCTTTGGAAAGAATGTGTGTCTACCAGACAGTCCCTAGGAAAGAAGAGGTAACTTTCTCCTGGAAGTTTCCTAGATCTGAACCCATTCCTCCTTTCCTCCAGTCCCTGGCCCTCACTGATCAACAAGCTAGCTATGCAGTGAACTTCCCACCTTGTACTTGTGTCACTGAGAAGTGCTATGTTACAACACTCTAAAGCCCTACCTCGCATGCTGGGCACAGACTGTCATTTACACGCTCAGGGTTTTCTACTCTTCTGGACTCAACAGCTCCTTTTAGGGTGTTCGGGGAGGTGGGGGTAGGGGGGTCTCTAGGATCCCAGGCACACTGGTCTTTTTGTGTACATTGTATTACTACCTACTTCCTTTGCACCTAAAGCAAATGACTTAATCTTGTTTAACGGTTGCAAAACAGTGTTAGCTTGGATTACACCCAGAGATTGGCTAATCAGATTTTATTCTAGGCCATTACAAGTACCCGAAACCCACCCATGTCTTTCTCTTCGAAGTAAATATCTCCTACTTCGTAAAGAAGACAAACTCCCAAGAACACTGTTCTCTCTTGCCTTGCCATTTCCCAGTAATACTCACCCAATCCTGTTCTTAATTCAAATGTTCTCTTTTAAGGTAGCACAGTCCAGCTATAGTCCCACATGATCACATAATATGTTACCCCTCATCATACACCTTTATTACCTCCTACTCATAGACATCTTTCTCCTGTTTCATTAAAGACTCACTTATAACAACTTTAAATTTACTAAATAAAAAGGTTTATTTATAAATTTGCCTTTGGATTATATACATTGCTCATTTATAAAAGGTAATCAGATTTTTTAAATTTAATTGAATAAGCTATCATTGAAAATTAACTGATTCAACTATGAATTCATTTTAAATCACCAATATCCAGGTGTTGTTTATCTTGAAAATACAACATTTTAAAGTAGTGGCTATATCCATTGCTTCCAGAAACCTACCTGTTGACATGAGCTGTGCATCATGCCTTCATAGACTTTGAAGGTTACATTATGTGGATTAACCAGTGCTTTTAGTTTTTCAACAGTAAGAGAACCAAACATTAGGGGAACTAAAGGGTCACAGTCTCCATGGCACTGGAGAATAGAAATATCTCTGTTAGTGCTATTGATAGGACCCTGTAAAACAAATATAAAGGAATGTTACTTATCAAATATAAAAAGCACTGTGCCAAACTCCTAAAAACTATAGATATACATGCATATGCTATACTCATAATTCAGTCAAATATTTTGATCAAGTAAACCCTCTATCTGTATTTTATGTTCCTTCAACATCTTTAAACTTCTATGGGATACAAGATTATTTTGCCATGTATTATAATACATGTTTCCAACAAATCAGATTCTTTAAACTGCTTACATTTCCATTCATATTTGAAAGTATATCAGTAACTATTAGCACACATTATGTTCTCATCAACTTTATAATGGAGTTAAATAGAAAAGTTAACTATTATGTACAATACACTGGAAAGTTATTATATGAGAAAAAGACTGAACTCTCAAATAGAAAATGAATTGAGTGTGACAAATTAGTATACCTGCACTCCCAGTGCCTGGGAGGCTGAAGTAAGGATCATGGATTTAAGGTCAGCCTGGTCTATATACTGTCTATATACTGTTAAGAGAAAACATAATAGCAACTCGAACACATCACTAATGTACTTAACTGGTATGTTCAAGGCACTAGGATTAATCCCTAGCACTGAAAACAAATAGTAAAGAATCTGAAAATAATGGAATCCCAGACTGATCGCTGAGAAACCAGCATTGGACCCACTCAGGTCCCCTGAATGTGGGTCTCAGTTAGAAGGCCTGGGCAGTCTAAGGGACCTCTGACAGTGGAGCCAGGATGTATCCCTGGTGCATGAAAGGACTTTGGGAGCACATTCCCCATGGAGGGACACTCCCTTAGCCTAGAGGCAGGAGGGAGGGCCTAGTTCCTACGCCAAATGATTTGACAGGTTTTGGTGACCCCTCCTGGAAGGCATCACCCTCCTTGTGGAGTAGAGGGAGGAGATGGGCTGGAAGGGGGGTTGGGAGGAATGGGAGGGAGAGGGAACTGGGATGGAGATGTAAAATAAAAATAATAAATATATATTAAAAAAATAATCTGAAAATAATTTTTAATGGTACATAATATATTATGTCACTGTTAAAATAATTTATAATTTTATAGTAGAATTCTGTAGTAAAATGACTACATTAAACATAATGAATTAAATGTGTGAATATGTATCTTAAAATGTACCAAATGATTAAATGTAAAGACAGCAAGCTTCTTGTTCTACCTATATAAACTACAGGAAACATAGATTTTATATATACTTGTAGTAATACACCTCACAGGGCTAAAGAAATACTTTAGAAATAAGATGACTGATCTAAGCCACGAACTTTGTATAGTAATGACGTTTAGTGTCAGCTCATCATCTGAAGCAAAGGTACCACTGTAGTGTGGGATGTCTACTGTAGGGGAGTCTGTAGGTGGAGCCGAAAGGAGGAACCCTTATTTCCCACTCAATTTTCTATAAACTTAAACTTCTAAAAAAGATTAAAAGCTTATTAAATAAAAAGAAAAAATGACTTGCTTCTAAACATTATCTGCTATCTCCTAGCTCTGTAATATCATTTATTCACACCATGTAAGCTACCTGTGGAAATGAAGCCCGAAGAGGAAGCCAGCAACTGAGCGCAGTGACGCCGGCCAGTTTCTGCTGTGTGGTAAGAGCGGTGTATAAAGATAGAGCGCCTCCCTGGAACAGAAGCAGAGAGTTAACTGGAGAACAGCTCTGCCAAAAGCCTGTGAGAGAATTCTCATTAGTAATGTCCACAAGAAAATATACTGTGTTAAATCAAACCAGGTAAGCTGGGTGTGAAGGTGCACCTGGGAGGCAGTTGCAGGTGGGTATCTGCGAGTATGAGGCCAGGCTGGTTTATAGAGTGAGTTCCAGGACAGCCAAGGCTGTACAGAGAAACCATATCTTGAAAAACCAAAACGGGGAAAAAAAAGTCAAACCTGGTAAAGAATGAAAACTTTAATGATTATGGATCGATCTCTACCTCCAAAAAAACATACCAATATAAGATCTCCACTTACAGCATTACTTAAGAACAGTCTGAATGTATAGTTCTCATTTTTCTCTCTGAAAAATCTTATAACTTCAAATGAGATTTAAGCTATTTTTCCAAACGAGGAATTGAAGATAATACAGGTGGAATGTCAGACACCATTAGAGGTTTGCCCATCTAGCTCACAACATGCTGTGTGTTGGGAACTATAATTGTGTCAGCCATCTAGATGCCATACCCTGACTATACCCATAAGGACATGAGAGACTTTCTGATCCCAGGCACCGATGTTCTGTCTCTCAGGACTGTGGGACTGGAATTCAGTTACTTTTAGGTCATCTCTATGTGCTTGGAAATGCAACAATGTAAAACCTAGAGCTATAAAAGCTAATATGGTCAACAGTTGGTAGAAAGGCAGATAAACAGTTAAACAGAAAAGACATAATCATGGAGAGGAAGTCCTGATGGCTTGCCAAGAACTACCTATTTCCTGGGGTGTAGATTTATTTTCAGTTTTCTTGATATAATGATACCACAGACTTAAAAGTAACTTCTTGCTTAAAGTATTTCAAATGGGTTTCCTTAGGTGTATAGAGTATTAGTGTGGAGGTCAGAGGTTGAAGTCTGGTATCTTCCACAATTGTTTTCCATCTTATTTTTTAAGACATGATCTCTGTTCTCTGACTGAACCTGGAATTACTCAAGGCTGGGAGGCCAGGTAGCTCAGGGGATCTATTTGTTACCACTTCCCCAGCTCTGGGACTATGGATGTTCGCCATCACACTCAGCTTTCCACACAGGTTCTGGGGATCTAAACTTGACACCTCATGGTTGTGTGTTAAGCACTATACTGCCTGATGCATCTCCTCAGCCCTAGACATTGATTTCTATAGGCTGTAATTAGTATCACACAACAGAACTATGTGCACATTATACTTTAAATAAAGCATTACATTTTGGCCTTATGCTTGTGTGGGTATATGTATTTTGTATTATTTAGACAAAGGCCACATTATCAATAACACCTTTTTATTTAAAATAACTTTTTCTTCTTTTGTTCTTCAAGACAGTTTCTCTGTGTACCTCTGGCTGTTCTGCAACTTGCTCTGTAAACCAGTCTGGTCTTGAACTCAAGAGATGAGCCTGCCTCTGCCCTCCTGAGTACTGGGATTAAAGACATGCATTGCTGTTTTGTGTGCATGTGGGTGTCAGAGCCCCTGCAGCCAGAGTTACTGCCAGCTGTGAACTGCCATATGGATACTGGGAATTGAACCTGGATCCTCTGAAACAGCACGTTGCTGTTAACCACTTCACTAACTCCAGCTCCCATCAGTAACATCTTTTATAATGTACTAATATTAATCACATTACCATGTATTACCACATTCCATTGAGTTTCTCATAGTTATTGACTGAGATTTCTCATAGTTATTGACTGAGATTAGAAGCTAGAGCATTCTGAGGAAAGGTTACTTAGAAACTGGTGAGTAGAAGTGTAAGTTCAAGGTGGGGATATAACTTAGTGATAAAGAGCTTCTTTTTCAGCTTGTGTAAGACCTAGGGCAATCACTAGCACCACAAAACAAACCAAGAAGGATGTAAGGTCAACATAAAGACACTGGACATGGAGAAAATACCAGGCTGAAGAAAGAAACCCATGTAACACTGTACTTAGAGCTTAGAAACCAAGCACTTAACACCTGCTCTCCTATAATCCTGTTTCACTCAAACAAGTAGTGCATTGTGGTTACTTTAACAAAGTACATTCTGGCTGGGCAGTGGTGGTGCATGCCTTTGATTCCAGCACTCAGGAGGCAGAAGCTGATGGATCTCTGTGAGTTGGAGGACAGCCTGGTCTACAGCATGAGTTCTAGGACAGACAGGACTACACAGAAAGACCCCCATCTCAAAAAAAAAAAAAAAAAAAAAAAAAAAGACAAAAATAAAAACAAAAAAAAAAAAAAAAGAGAGAGAGAAGAAAAAAGAAGTACATTCTAGGTTCCAATCAATTTTTTTAATGAATTGTGTGTCTTTCCAAGACAGAGTTTCTCTTTCTATCTCTGTTACAGCCTTGGGACTATCCTGAAAGTCACTTTGTAGACCAGGCTGGCCTCAAACTCACAGAGATCCACCTGCCTCTGCCTCCTGAGTGCTGGGATTAAAGGCATGCCTACCATGCTAGGCCATCCAAAGGCAATCTAAAAGAAAAATGTGACTGTGTAAGAAACCAGAAAATAAATAAATGAAGTCTATGAGGCACAAATTGTCCATCCAATCCAACTCTAAGTCAGCAGCTATATCATCTCTAAGATTCTGTAATAGCTCCAAACAAGGGACTCTTCCAAAGAAACACAATTGAAGGCATAGACTTGTAGACATGGTATGGACAAGCCAATCAAGCTTACCTGAGAAAATCCTCCCAAAATAATTCTGTTAGAGGGAATGCCATTCTTCACCTCTTGATCTATCAAAGCTTTTACTGGAAACAAGAAAAGTATCATAAATACTTTCAAAGTTAAGCCACTGATAACTAAAAATCTGATAACTAAAAATCTGAGGAATATAACAGAATCAGAGACTATTAAAGACAGAAATGGAAGAAAGCCTTGAAGCATTCTATTTAAAAACACAAAGTGGCATGTATGTGACTCCTCAGGCTCTCTAGGGGCTGCCAAGCTTAACACTTCTCTAACTTCCTTCTCCCCACAGAAAGCTGCATGTCCTTTTATTTATGGTTAATTCTAGTGTACATTTTATATTTCTTTCCAATAAACCAAACAGAAATTAGGTAAAACTTGTCATTTTAAAATGGAATATGTTTCAAGATTATGTAATTTGTGGCTTATAGTGTCTAGCACCATTAGTCATAATTTTTAAAACTGCTGCATTACTTTTTCCTGTAATTCAAATGATTAGAACTCTGTTTAAATAGAAACAGTAAATGAAGAGGGAGTCATTTGAAATTGTGTGTGTGCCTGGTCCAGAGTCCAGAAGGGGGTGTTAAAATCCCTGGAACTGCAGTTATAGACAGCCATTCCTAATTTAAGGTTACTTTTAGTTTATTAAAAATTTAAGATTGTCATAGTGGCTCAAACCTTTAATTCCAGCACTTGGAGGCAGAGACAGGCAAATCTCTTGTGAGTTCAAGGCCAGCCTGGTCTACAGAGTGAGTTCCAGGACAGCCCTGTCTCAAAACAAACAAAAATTAATTTCTTAAAATTAGTTCTTAAAGTTTGTATGGAAAAGAAAAGGCAGTCCAACTAGTATGAATAGCATGTGACCGTGGGTTTGACGCCAGGAAATGAAAGAACTATTGAGACAAATGAGCAGAGGGGCAGAGACAGCCCAGCCCAGCTGTCAGGAAGGGGGCAGCAGCTGTAGGCTTGAGGAATGTCAACTCCATCCAGCCCAGGAGCCTCAGACTATTTAGCTTTACTTTGTAGATTTCACCAATTGATGGTATAAATCTACACAGTATAAAACAAAAATGTTTTAACAAACAACAGCGAAAGAAGCCACTTGTAGAGCAGTGGGTTCCAAATCAGTCACATTCTAAGAGCATGGTGCCCTGCCCAGAACTTATTCTCTCTATCCTTGTCTTCCTAGCCAACTCTCTGACCTTCATTCCCTTCAATATTCACTTGTGAGGAAAGAAACAACCAACTCTATTGTTAACAGAGACTCTTACTCAGGGGCTTACTAATCAAGATAACTCTTCCATCTTCTACAGGTTCTAACACAATTATACCAAAATAAATATTTTTCTCGTTTAATATTAAGACAAAATCTTAGCTCTAGGATTCTGGCATTAATGTACATTCTGAGGATCTAAAAAGCCACTGGGCAGGGTTTCACATTACCCAGATAGTTAATGTGTTTTGGATGTATTTTTTTCTATCTCAAAGATTTCAAGTTGTTTTTAAAAAGAATAAAAAATTCTTTTATCTATTTTGGAAAACTTCAAATAAATATAAAAGAAAGAGCAGTTCAAGTACACTGCTCCAAGACTCTGCAGTTACCAATTCTCACCTGGGCTGGTTTCTTCTAATGTGGCCCAAAAACAGAAGTTACCGCATAAGACTAATCTAAAATCATTGCCAGTCACTGCATCATATGAAAAGCCCAAAGAAATTCTAACTTCAACATGCATGTAAAAGAAAAGTTTCTTGTTTTTATGTTTTCACTCACAAAACAGTGCTTATAAAGGAGAATGAAGTACTAAATTCACAGGAGTGTTAAATGAGCCAATTTATAAGAAATGAAGAGCTAGTACTGAGCTAAGTGATAAATCAGTGGTGTCTATCATTATTTCACTAATATTAACCATTTATATCACTTTTACTGTTGTCTTTATGTCATTATAATTACTTCAAGTCTCTTTAATAACTATATATAACTATTAGACAAAGCACTATTTTCTCCAGTGCCTATGTATTTTTGCTTTGAGACAGCGTTTTCTATGTGATCCAAGATGGCTGTATCTCACAGCCATCCTCTTGCCTCAGCCTCCCAAGAGCTGGGATTATATAGATAGGCACCATAACACTCAGCTTTGCTTATGTCAATCAAAACAAACTCTCTATCCAACAGAGCAGAACAAATAAATGCTGCTCCTTCCCAACTATGTGGCTGCCACGGACTACAGATGAGCAGAGTAATCAGAATGAACACTGTATACTTGTCTATTTGTGAGACTGGGTTAGTCCCCAGCATGGCAAAGGGAGGAAGGGAAGGTGATGAGGGAGGTCCTTCTGTATGTATGTTTCACTTATTGGTTGATGAATAAAATACTGTTTGGCCAATAGAGGCAGGAAGATAGGCAGAGGTAGGAGGCGAAGAAAATGCTAGGGACAAAGCCAGAGAGGCACCATGAGGAGACACCAAATAGCCGACAAAGGAGTAACGGGTCAGGGTATTCTCAGGTAAGCCAAGACCACGTGGAAATACATAGATTAATAGAAGTGGGTTAATAATTAAGACAGAGCTAGCCAATAGAAGCCCTAGCCATCAGCCAACAGTTTGTTTAATAGTTAATATAAGTCTTTGTGTTTATTTGGGGCTAACAGCTGCGGGACCAGGCGGGAAAGAAACTCCAGCAATAGGAGGGGAAGGGGAAAAAGGAAAGGGAGGGAGAGGAAGGCAGGAAGGGAAAAGATGAAGTAATGGATCAGGTCCTGAAAACACATTTAATCAAATTTAACTAGTGAATCTACTAAAAACATTTACTCAAGCTTTACTAATCATAAACACTTGGTACTCACCACTTTCTGCCGCCTGTTTAATTCCAGATTCATCCTCCTGAGAATCTGGTGAGAGTCCAATAATATCAAACCTGGAAAATAAGGCCATGAGAAAAGAACTATTAAAGTCTAAAAGTCCATACTTAGCAGATATGTTTACTAACTTTAGTTAGTCTGTTGAGAAATTGGGACACTCACTAACTATTCTTTCTGAAGGGTATGAGAGGAATCTTGAGGGGGCTGCAAGGAAAATGACCTTAACATCAAACCAGCCAGGGAGGCAAGCAGTTGGCAGGACAAAGATGCTATGGTGTACTCAGTGTGCCTATCTCATGAATCAATGTTTGATTAATGTACCCAACAAACACCAAGCAGCAGAACAGATTTCTCTTTATTACTCACTCTTGTTTTTCTACCTTATGTATAACTTCTTAAGTTAACACAGTTATAAAGCATGAATAATGGAATAAAAGTTAAACTTAATCATACTCTTACAATTTAAAAATATCTAAAGCAAACAAAAATCATGCATGTACACAAGCTCTTCTGAAAAGATTAAAATTGTTTTTTGTTGTTTGTTTTTTTGAGACAGGGTTTTTCTATGTAGCCCTCACTATCCTGGAACTCAGAGATCCACCATCCTCTGCCTCCCAAATGCTGGGACTAAAGGTGTGCCCCAACATTGCCCAGTTCTTAATGAGAAAGTAAACTCTTACTTACCAAGAAGGCATAGCCATATTCATATTTAATGTAACAGGCATAACAGGCCTATGTGGGAAAGAAACAGCTTATCAGGATACAGAGCCATGTGTTACATTGTGGCTTTAACATGCAATGCATGTCACACCACTATCTGCACAGCTGTTCCCTCTGTCCCCTAACACTTTTCTGAAGACAAAGCAGCTGTTGCAGAGGACTAAGTTGGCTCAGGACTAAACTTGGCTCATAACAAGTAATTTTTGTCTCAACAACCTTTCTTGATAACTGTAACTTCTAGGAAATGAGAACTGGAAATATATATACCAGGAGATTCTGCTAAGAGCATTTATTGCTAGCTACTATACCACCAATACCCATATGCCTAGATTACATTTTGCTTTTTCCCTAGTTACATACCTGCTTGATTTATTGACCTATAAATAAAATAAAGTTCTACCCTAGTGTTCATTATGTCCAACTCAAATCTGCAAAGAAAAATAGGCTGAACAATCCAATAAGCCTGGTACAAGAGGAAAATTAACATGAATATACTCTTACCAATGCCAACCTCCTCCTTAATTCATACAACAAACCAATTCAACCTTTTAGGAAAACATAAACTTTCCCAGATTAGAAAACAGTCTTACAGCAATTTAATTTAGGGGCAAATATAGTGGAAATTCAAATAGTCATGAATCCTGCCTCTTGCTTGTGCCAACCACACTAGCTAAAGCATTCGGCTGTAGCCTGCAGAAGTCGTCAGACTGGGCTCCTCCAGACAAGGAAATCCCAGACTTTATTCTCCTTTCCAGAGTCACCTCAGGTGCCCTGTTGTCGTTTCTGAGGAGTAAGCACAAACCTACCAGCATGGAACCAATGTTTTCAGCTTCCCCTGGCTGTTCTTAGCAACCTTTCACCTCAAATTAGCCATGTTTATTGATTTTCGGAGCTTGCTCTAAACTTGCTAGCTCCCTGACACCAGCCAACACTTTCAGAGCCAGGTGCTGAGACCTTCCCTGTCTATGATAGAATATCTCGTTGCCTCTAACTAATCAAACCCGAATGTCTTGAATTGAATGAAGATTTTTTTTCACAAATCTAGCTTATAACCCATTTATAGACAACACATGGTATCTGTGGAACTCTATAAGTACATATCTAAGAATTTAAGTTCATCTGACCCCTAGAAGAATATCTTAAGTTTCAAAAAATGAATTTTTGAAGTTATTTTAGCTTTAAAGAGTATTACATATCTTTGTAACCTAAGAGAGAAAGAAGTATATTCATATATTTTCTGGAAAAGAAAAGCTATTACAATTTGTTCTAGATTCTGAAGAAAAAAACTAGGTATTAAAAATACTCACGCATGTGGACAGATGTATTTGATGTGGGAACTTCTGATACCTGCAAAGGCTTCTGCCCATCCATGCCTGGTAGAAAATTATTAAAATCATGCTATTAATAACTTTTAAATTCTAAAAAACTGATACAGAGCAGTACTTAAAAACAGGTTAGCTCCTTAAAGTACTGTAAGAGTAAGGGATTGTACTGTTGAACACCAGTGATGACCAAGGAGCAATGGCCATTCTCTAATGTTTGCCTACACAAAGAATGTTCTCATGCCTTCGGACTGTCAGCAGATGCTGCTGTTAGATGACACGATTTGATACATAAAAGACCTTTAAAAAAAAAAACAAAAAACAGGAAAGTAGTTGTATACAAAGTTAAAACTAATCCATAGCCTTCCTATATACAAATGACAAACATATTGAGAAAAAAATCAGGGAAACAGTACCTTTCACAGCTGCCTCAAATTATATATATAGTTCTAAATATATCTTCTAATCAAAACAGTTATTTTAAGATAAAGATATATATGTCTTATGACCAAACAAATGAAAGACCTGTATAACAAAAAACTTTTAAGACACTAGAGGAAAAATTGAAGACCCACCCACAGTGACATATTTCCTAATCCTAAACAATTGGAACCAAAACATTCAAATATATGAGCCCCACAGAGGCGTTCTCATTCAAGCCACGGTATTCCACTCTCTGGCCCCTGTAGGCTTGTAGCCATACCATAATGCAAAATACATTCTGTTCAACTTCAAGACCCCATAGTCTTTCGTGCTACACTGTTTAAAAGTTCAACATCCCAACTTCAGTGTCCCTGTAAAAGCAAATGAGTACTTGTTACTGGGGACCACAGGTCCCTGAGGGTTAGTCTGTGAGCCCATGGCAGAGCATGGCAGCAGACAGGCATTCGGGCACTAGAGCATGCGCTGAGAGCTTGAGTCTACTCCACCTGCACAGGGCAGAAAGAGACTGAGCCTAGCATGGGCTTTTGAAACCTCACAACCCAATCCTTCCTAACTTACCACCACTGGAACCAAACATTCAAATGTGGGGGACATGCTCATTCGCCACACGGTTCCACTCATAAGTCAGTGTATTGCTCAATCACTATCAGAGAACTAACTTTTCACTGGAAGGTAATTAACACAAATACCTGAAACTTGAAAGTATGCAGAATGAGATCCTTTGGGGTGCTTAACCTGGAATGGGATAGCTTTTATCACACCCCTCCCCTCAAAGCTCAGGAATCAATGTGCAGAAGAGAAGATGGAGAGACTGTAAGAGCCAGAGGTGGTGGATTTCTTTAAGGAAACAGCATTTTCAAGACACAACAGTACATATGCACATATGAACTCAGAGACTGTGACAGCTCAAGTCAGATAAAATTACAGCTCAGAGGAAAGGAAGTAGGCACCAAGTCCCACCCCCAGTTAAGAAAACCTATTCACAACTGATAATTGCTGGGAACTCTCTTCAACCAAATGGCACCAGGGAACCATACTCTAGAGTAGACCTGTTCAGGAATAGTTGGGCCAACACAAATTGGATCCCTTATTTTTAAATTTTTAGTTTTTAAGAAAAAAAAAAAAAAAAACAAAGTTAGATGGTGTACTGGCTGGTTTTGTATGTCAAGTTACTTGACACAAGCTACAGTCATCAAAGACGAAAGGAGTCTCAGCTGAGGAAATGCCTCCATGAGATCCAGCTGTAAGGCATTTTCTCAATTAGTGATCAATGGGGGTGGGTCCAGCTCATTGTAGGTGGTGCCATCCCTGGGCTGGTAGTTCTAGGTTCTGTAAGAAAGCAGTCTGAGCAAGCTATGTTAAGCAAACTAGTGAACAGCCCCCCTCCATGGCCTCTGCATCAGCTCCTGACTCCAGTACCTTGCCGTCTGAGCTCCTGTGACTTCCTTCAGTGATGAAAAGCAAAGTGGAAGTATAAGCCAAATAAACCCTTTCCTCCTCAGCTTGCTTTTTGGTCATGGTGTTTTGCCGAAGCAATTGAAACCCTAAAACAGTTGGTTAGGGAAGAGAATATCTGGGAGGAGTTAGGAGAATGTCAAAGAATATGATAAAAATATACTGGGGGGGGGCACACCTTTAATTACAGCACTTGGGAGGCAGAGGCAGGTGGATCTCTATGAGAGGCGAGCCGGGTCTAAAGAGTAAATCCAGGATAGTCAATGCTACACAGAGAAACCCTGTCTGGGAAAACAAACAAACAAAAAACCCAAAAAATAAAAACAAAAAAACCCCACAACCACACAAAAGTCACAATCCTTTGAGCCAGAGGCTGTCCTCATTCTTAGTGTCTCTTCAGCCTTTCAGGTATGGGATTATAGACTTGTGCCACCATACCAACCTCACCTAATCTTCTGATGTATTTTCATTTCATTCCCCCTCCGCCAACATGTATCAATTTAAAAAGGGCTAGGCAGGCTTGGTACACGGTAGTTTACACCTTTAATCCCAGCACCTCTGAGGTAGAGGCAGGCAGATCTCTGTGAACTTGAGACCAGCCTAGTCTATGAATTCTATTTCAAAGTTAGAGAGAGGGGGTGGGGTGTAGATATTTCTCCATGGTGGTAGAATGCTTACCTAGCATGCACAAGGCACTGGTTTGGTCCCTAATGCCACCAAAGAAAGAGAATGTAACAGATCTGATAAAAATGAGACCCTTCTATACAGTTCCTGGCTTATTTACTCTCACATTATACTTAAACAGATTTCCTTTGCAATTTTAAATACTTTTATCAGTTTTTTATTCTGCATTAATCCACTGTCCTCCAAGTGTTGATAAAAAGATTTGAAAGGTATGATCCAGACTATTCTAGGAATTCTGTTCATGCTCATGTGTAAGTACAAGCTCATGCGGATTTGTGTGTTGTGTACTGTCAGAGCACAGTTCAAGAATAGAATTGTGTGAGGAGATTCTGGGGACTGTGAGAAGACACTAACAAACCAAGACAAGAGGCTTGTGGCTCTAGTTTCCTCAATAACATGGAAGGTCCTTGACATGTGCTTTCCTGATCCTCCCACATACAGAGGATCGGAGAGAGTTTACATTACTCATTATACCTGGCTATTGTTATTTGTCCATGGAACAGATAACAGTATTTGCCTCTATGGAAAAAACATGATTTTGCTACTCTGCTCATGTAAATCTACTTAACCCTCATTATAATTTGTCTGAGGCTATTGCATGAAGCTTTAGTCCATCTCATTTATCAACTCCTCTTTCTCCAGTCCCACCATCTGGAGAGAGGTTTTGTGTGTGTGTGTGTGTGTACATTTGTACTAAGATTTACTTGGAAAACTATAAAACAAAGAGCTGCATAAATGGTAACATGTCTCAAGCTCATAGAATATTATAATAGTAAGAAAGAGTATAATACCAGGGTAAGGATAGAGCTATAAATCAACTGGGAGTCCAGAAATTAACAGCCACAACTGATGTCAATTAAAAAACACATGCCCAGGTGGTGGTGGTGCATGCCCTGATTCCAGCACTTGGGAGGCACAGACCAAAAGAGCTAGGCCAGACGGTCTACAGAGTTCCAGGAAAGTCTCCAAAGCTACACAGAGAAACACTGTCTCGAAGAACCAAAAGAAATGGCTATGAAAAAATAAACTATAAATGAGAAAAATTAAACCGCTGTGCTTCAAGGACACTATGAAGACAATCTACGTAAGTGAAAATTATGTGCAACTTGTACATTTAATAGTAGTCATTCACAATATATACAGAACACCTATAACTAACAAAGTGGCCACCTAGTTTACAAATGGGCAAAGCATATTCTGTAAAGAAAACATTAAAATAATCAATAAACACAAGGACAGATACTTATCACATTAGTCATTACGAAAACACAAGTCAAAACCGCTCAGGGCTGATAAGACTACATATGCCTGTCATCCCAGAAGGCTGAGGCAGTAGGAGCCAGAGTTCAAAGATAGCCTGTGCTGCACAGTTAAGATTGTCTCCAGACCCACACACATGCAGCAGAACTACTGTGAGATTCCACTTCATACCCACCAAAATGGCTATTAAATCGGGGTTGCTCTCTGTTGAGACAGGGTCATACTAACTGGATGGCTTAGTATTCACTAAGCAGCTCACATTGGCCTCAGACTCATGGCGGTCTTCCTGCTTAGCCTTCTGTATTTACACAGGCATGTGTCACAACGTACACAGTAAGAACTTCCTGTAGTGTTGATATATACCTGCACTTCCAGATCACCAGACCAAGCCAGATTATCAAGTAATTCAAGCAATCCTTAATGCCTCTGAGCATTAACCTGAGAGGTCTTTTAAGCCATGTGACCAAAGCAGCACTTAAAATACACAATGTAGGGCTGGAGAGATGGCACTTATTTGCTTTTACAGAGGACGGGGTTTTGTTCCCAGCACCCACATGGTGGCTCAAAACTGTCCTTAACTCCAGTTCCAGGGGATTGATTGGATTACCCTCTTCTGATCTCCACAGGCACCAGGCGTGCACCCATATACTGATAAAAACACTCATGTACATAAATCTAGAACAAAATACAAAACCTTCTGGGTCATCTCAGCACTCAGCTAAGTCAGGAGAGGTTATGAGTTTATAGCCAACCTGGGTTACAATAAATAAATAAAACTTACTGTAAGTACATAACCCCCCCCACACACACACATACAGTTTCCCTGTAAAAAGCAACAGTCCAGACACATTAGGAAAGGTTCTTTCCTTGCTCACTGTCAATTCTTGTTTCAGTTTCTTTTTCAATTTCTAAGCATATCATTAGTGTATTCTCTATTTTGGGATTTGTTCTAATGACCTCTGGGATAAGTAAATAAGCCATAAACACCATGATATGATTTCAGTTAATTAGTGCTCTGGGAATGGACAGTCACCAAAAACCATGTTTATAAAACAATTGTCCACCAATTATTAAGAGTCCAAATGGAACACAGGTTCAATTATCTTCCTCAAAAAGCCTGGCCTGGTAACACACACGTGTAATGAATAATACTTGAATGGCTAAGGCAAGAAGACTATTAAACTTGAGGCTAACTGAGCCATACGGGG